TAACCAAAAATTATGCAAATAATGATAAGACAGTATTTCTTCAAAATATCTTTAAGTCGAGTGATTTATTGATGATTTCTTTCGGTGATTTGGATGCTATTTCCCCAAGAAGCAACATCAATTCTATCATTGACATCTTAAACAATTTAATAAAAATTAAAATATTCAACATTAACAAACTGATAATTTCATCGTACCACCGAATTTTAAATCTCAACTATATGCATTTCAAAAGGATAAAACAACTAGCCAGCCGATTGAGTATACAACTATATATTAGGATATTTAAAGTCAGTCAGCTACAACATAGGACCAGGCACATATATGCATCTGTCCAAGTTGCCATATGGCATGAAAATAAAATTCCATACATAAACAGTTATGCACTTATAATCAACAATGACACACTGCAGAACTATTTAAAACCAGGATATAACAGATTATTATTATTTCGATTTTGGTTTGCGATTCATCAGTTGCACAAACTTAAGACACGATAATGAACGAAGACCTTTATGTCTTGTATCAAGAATGTAATTTTTTACTACTTAAACTAATACCGTATATAAATAAATGTTTTTAATATCCCAATGAGAAGAAAAATTAGATTTTCTGACTGTTAGGTCCCGATAAACATAATGAATGGTAACTTTGGGATCCATTTATGGACCAATACTAAACGTATACTTCATCGTATAATTGTTAAATAACTAAACTATTCATATTCATATTCCTATTATTATAAGCTTTGTTTTGACCCATGAACCATTATTGTACGTTTTACCATTCTTGAATTATGCCCTGTCTATTTTTTACTGCCTCCCTCATTCACAGCCACTTTTGGCCAAATCCTGTACAAATGTTATTTTCTATTTTATGGTGCGTTGTGGTCTATTTGATTGGTATATAAACTCAGTATGTTTGAAATATAATGATTCATATTGCAGAGGCTCAGATTGTTGTTCTGGTCTTAACTGGCTGGGCTAGGAGGAAAGCAGGACAAATCAGGACTCCAGACTGTTGGTACGGGTTTACGCGTCATTGATCCCATCGATAAAGCACACAGGTCACGAATTATAACACTGACGTTTCATGACTTAGTGCAAGCCACTTCTTCAGAGAATAAATAACCAAATTAAAATTAATCCAAGTTTAAATAGCACAACAGAACAACACGAATATTATTAATTTGGTTATTTATTCTCTAAAGAAGTGGCTTACACCAAGTCACGAAACGTCACAAAAATCTAATATTTCTACTCATTCGGATATTACAAATATATTATTTATTGATAACAATCTACTCAATGTTCAATTTATTCGAAATCATCAAATCAAACCTTGATAATGATTCCTATAAGACCGTATATGTTATTAAATTTATAATTCAATACACTAAACATACATTGATTTGTAATGAATAGAATGTTTCACTTATCCTGTAAATGATTATCTTTTCTAAATAGTTGAAAAGCATTTTACATCAACAGTCTTATCAAATTGAATGTAGGCAGTATATTCAATATAAGAACATAATAGTACATAGAAAATCTTACCTATGTTCTATTTATAGATGCTTCAATTTAATTAGCAAGATATTCAGATGTCAGAAATTATATCATTAGTACAATTTACTAAATTAAAACTAGATGATTAAATAATATTGTAATGCACTAATTCAAATATTTACTTTTAATAATATAGTGACATTGAATAATTTTGACAATTGACCTAAGAAAAAAGAACAACCTTAATAAACTTTATATTGGTGAACAAATCAATCATTGTGACCTATAGATGATTTCAACTTGTCAAACTTATTGATAGTACATCGTATTCAATAACTTTCATCAAACGAATAAGTTAGAAAACTAGGTTGATAATTCGATTGATATAGTGAATAAAAGATTGTAAATAAATAAGTACCAGTTCATCTAATATTAAACCATAAATTTTTCTTTTCTGTGATGAAAAACAAAACACGATTGAATTGATTGAACAGATTGATTGCTTGATTCGATATGATTGGTATAGTAGAGTGATGAATACTTATGAAGACCGACTTATTAACGTAAAATCCCAAAGAATGGATATGAAACAACATACTAACGCGTCAGAAAATGAATAAGTTTTAAGTAACATAAGTACACACAAATATGTAGAAAATGTAAAATGAAAATAGTTACATGATGATAGAATTCATATTTGATAGGTGATTAACAGAGAACTAATTATATGACTCAGTTATTGCCTCTATATCAGGTCATCAATCAGTATAAAAGCCGTGCTAATTTTCCTTTCAGAAAAACTTAAATATTCGATAACATTTAGAAAATACTCAGTGCTCATAAATTAATCAATCCATTTTAAATTTTAAGATAAATTAGGTAACTTTATATGAGTACCAAGTAGTTTCTTGATATACACAACACTGATTTACTAAACACCTAAAATAGATAACATTTAATGAATTGAAGGCAAAATTTGAGTATGTACTTTATAGATCAGAGCTTCGTCTATATGATGCAATAATAGCTTGGCTTCACATCGAATTCGCTAACGTAGCAGTACAATTAATTATGGAGAGGACGGATAGAGAAGTCTTGGTTGTATTTAATTCATACAAGTAAGTAATCGAATAGTCAGTATACGACAGTATTTAGCTTTACCGTGGTGTACACTAGGAATAATTAGTAGGATGTGTGAGAGTGTAGATAATGAATATGTGGTTACACTACAACTCCCATGCACTATAAGTTTGAGATAAGCACTAGTAGATTTAAACAAAGAAATCTGACCGAAAAACCGAAAGTAGTGAATATGAAATTGATTGGAACATTTATAAGATATTCGATATACATCCAACAAATAGTGAACGTGTTTTTATAATAAAATCATTTTGACAGTAACAACCTACGGTGCTCGCTAGAAGAGTGGTGTGTAAATACTATGCAGAAGCGCTAGTCCCACTACAACAGTCTCACTATACAAAACAAGCCCATCTTCTATTTGTCTCCAGTAAAAATGACCACCCCAAAAATTTCATTAAAACGTATCTTGTAACTCGATCTCCTATAGTAAAACTAACCTTTCGAAGTTGACTTCTCACACACATGTTGTGAATATTCTTATCGCTACAAAGAGCGTGAATTAGGAATGTGGATTATTTTTAAAGCGTCGACTGACTACTGATTTAATATTAGTAGACTGACATTTTTAATAAAATCGTAATGCTCTTGGCATCGATATCCATTTTGATGAATTTATTCAAAATAATTCGTTGGAATACCAATAGTGGATAGCGTAACATTTACAAAACTTTTGTATTGTCAGAATTTCGGTGCAAAGTGGCTAACGAATGAAGAAAACGAGTCTTCATAAACTAGAGTCATGATTAAGATAAGTTGGGAGAAGTTAGGTAGAATCTTAAATACTTCGTGATTGTTCTACGATAATCGATGCGTTATAAATCTTTTTACTTTTCAGGCCTAAATATCGAACTTTTCCAATAGCAAGATCTGATGGAAAAACTTAGCAGAAAACATGGTGTCACTTCTTTCTTCATATGATTGAATCATTTGAGAAATCTTTAATTGTTAGACTCCAGTGTTCTGCTGAGAATATCTAAGATTTCCAGGATTGACTAAGTAATCGAGACAGATATCCAACTAAAATCAGGAGTCTTGTCACATGCTGTGTCACCATTTAACTTACTAGAAGAATACAGAAATCCCGCTTGCTAAACACGTACTCAAGAGAAGTACCTAGAGAGGATTCAACGATATACGACGATGGTAGATTTGACTAAAGAAACAATGAATATTCTGCAAACCACTGACCATAAACTTCAGGTAATACGACTGGCGAGAATTGAGCCTAGTGCTCAGGACTTTATTGGTCAAATAATAAGTAGCTTATGAACTGATTGCCTTCAACCACCTACGTCATCTTATTTCTCGTATTAATATTTCGTACATAGGTACATCATTTTATTGCATTAAAAGAATTCATGGTGGTGCTATGCACTTGATCTCAAATTATTCAAAAACTTGTGTCAATAATTTGGTCTTGTGAACAATCATCACTTAGTCACACTATAACACTACATATCATCGATTGAGGCATTATTTGAACATGTAGATAACGAAGTCCTGTTTGGTGAGAGCGATGAAACAGTCCAAAGATCCTTAAAATTCTCAAGTAACAAAACAACAATGGTTAGGATTTGTTTCGGTCGCTTTAAATGTATATTGTTATTTTACGATTGGTCAGTACTTATACATGGCCTAACCACAGAAAGTGAAGTAATCGGGTAATAAAATTACTATTCAGCTAATACTTGACCTAAAAAGGTACATAAGAAGCGTAATTTTTTAATACCCAGTTATAAAACCTTTCAAGGCATTTCTCGCAGATGATGAGGTCACCAACTGATTAATAGTGAGATTCATGAGGTTGTGTACGTTTATAGGACGAGGCAATCGTGACATAGTACTTAATACCAGCTATCGCCTATCCCTATCCGCAGACTTCCTGGTATGAGAAAACATGCAGTGACCAAACTAAGACTAAGCATCAGTAGATGAAGTCACTGATTGTTAGACCGAAGTCTGTCGAGAGGTTAGGCTTAGAGTGGTGTTACTAATTAACTGTTCAGCAATATGGCATACGATCAGCTGCATTAACACAGATCCACTCATTCTTTATATGCTCCTACATCATGCGTTATAATATTATTTCACACTATGCCTATCAAATCATTCCTATTTTTTGAATTATATTTCCTTTGCTTAGTCTTTTTCATAATAAAATATACCAACATTACTTCCACTACTATGCCATTTATTTTATTAACTTCATCGAGCTATGCTAATGTAAAATGTGGTAACTTGGACCAATAAAAATTGGCCCCAGGTTCTACGTTTTGATTAAATGCATTAAAAAATGTGGATCCATACGGATTTTTTATGATTTGAAATAAAAATTCAGCACAAGCGATATAATTAACAACAGTTGTATTAGTAAATAAAGTGGAAACAGTTTAATTTCTGCATAATAAATTACTCCAATTGATCTTACTCACATTGGGCACATAGCGTATAGTTACTGAAACACGTTTACCACGATGACATAACTGTGACTGAATACTTCCCAAATCGCTAGCAGTCCAATTATGAATAACAGCAACATTTTCAACCGATTCCTCAGGACGTTTCAAACAGTCTTCATAATTTACTAATAAGTCAGTTGTACGTTCAGTAATCCCATGCATATAATGTGTATACATTTTTTCGGTAACAATATTTAAGCTACGACGTTTCAAATAAACTGAGCCAATATAACGATCATTAAATAACGTTGATTTTGTTTGCTATAGAAAAATACGATTATACTAACATAAATAATTACTGGGTCTGTAGAAGTATCCAACGGCTCATAAAAGTCCAGAATTCCATAAGAATTCAAATTGATTGTAGCAACAACAGGATAGTAAAGTGGTCCATCATGATGAGGCTATTGGAATTAATTTTAAAAACATGAAAAATTAGATTCAATACAGTGGAAGTAATATCAGTAACTTTGTGAACGTTGATTTACTAGAGTAAGTCTCACCTTCGGAACAAAAACAAAAAAATTAATCAGGTTGAACATATAGATAGTGTGAAGTTTAACTAGTACCCACAAAAAAGTCACAATCCAACTTTGCTGAACTTAATTGTAACTTAAAAGTGGCCAAAATCATATAACAGAAACTGAATAGCTGATTACTAGGTCGTAAATATGTTATACAATGTAACTTTGAGCCCATCAATTAAGTTTATGCACTCTTAGAAATGAATATCACGTTCCGTGACCTAAAGTACTTCTTTAAAGTAAATAAGTAACTGAATTAAACTTAAGTTTAAAGTTGTGTTATAATTATTGGGATATTACGAAAACATCATTATGTACATGTACTGGGTGTATTCGTCCACGTATTTATTTATCCTATCCATTATTTGGTTTTGTAAACCAAATCACTAATAGATATGCTGGTCGATTTTCCGACCAATCCAAATACCGTAAGATTCAGCTCTCAAGTTAACATCTGAATACTGTACGATTCGTCATTTATCTTCTTCATTGCCTATTAGTGTGTGTGGAGTATGAAATATCCAACGCATTTCGTATTTAATCTATAAAATCACGTTACTAGTTGAACTTGCTACACAACAGGCTAAATTTAAAACTGACTCAGAATCTAGAACGACTAGAGACATATGTGTTTACATATACTATGTTATTTTACCCAGATACACCCGAGAATGGCATTTATTAGGTCATATGATAAAAGAACATGGAAAATTAGAGTCTATTCTCTGAATAGCTATGTATAAGATAATGCGATTTGAACTTATCAGGCTTACGATCATTCAAGAACTGCCTTCATGATATTTAGTAACAATCTATGTTAAATATGCTATCTTGTAAGTCAATTCTATATTCTACTGTCAAACATCGTCTATTAGAATTAAAAAACATGAACCAGATAACTAACATTTCATTTATTTCGGTGAATACTTAAATGCTTCACTAAATATCTCGAGGAATAAAATCATCACATTACTTGTATTAATATTTTAAAAAAAAAGAAACAAAACGGTATGAAATTCCGAGATCCAGTAACTAAAGGAAGAGAAAAATTAAATGTTCTTATGACATTGTGAACAATTCACGGTCTGACCAGTGATAATTGAGCCGACCCCAACCATGTAATCGATACCGATTTACATGGGTTAGTCTAACAGTCAAACACTTTACAGACCAATGGTACGTCTTTGTTTAACCGCGAACAGATTTCTTCCAGTCCTCTCTCATGTCATACAACGTCACCCGTCAACGTAGTTGATGGTTGGGCATATATAACACCCAATCACTTCAGTTGAAGAATCATCTCGCCTACACCACATGTGGAACAAGTTGGCAAAAGGCAACTTAGCTTTCTGAATACGTGTCAAGATTTCATACGACAGCAATGACACATGGTAGGTGGACGCTTATAAAGTAAATAGTGAATGCGATTGCTATTATGTGATTACTTTTGATCAATATTAGGCCGTAAATAACCAAGAAGACAAGTGAAATAAAATTTACAGAGAGTTTGGGGGAAACAATTAAAACTAATGATGCACGTAATTTCCATGTTTTATTAATGAGATTAAGTAAAAACATCCACTTACAAATATACCTTGTCCTGGTTCATATTCATTCACCAAAACATGATTCGCCTTATTATTGTTACTATTATCAAACAAACACAATTCAGAAACACGATCCATGTACTTCTGTAACCACTAAATAAACTAAATTGTTAACTTATTCATATGAATTTAAAAAACCTGTGGAACTTTTTCAATTAACATTCCTTTAACATGAGGAATACCACCCCAATTTTGTAAGCGTCTGCCACGTAGAGAAACCCACTTCGGTAATGGGGCAGAATAAATATGTTTTAGTAGTTCCTGTTCTTCTTCTTCATTTATAAAATTTGGTACATACAGAACATTTGGTGGTAATGTTTTGACGCAGTAACTGTCTAACAATTTTAACATAACTACCTACATTCAATAAACACAAGATAAAAATGAATCTACTGAAACTAAAAGAATATTAAGTAAAATAAAATGGATTCTATAAAATCCAGTGGTTAATCTAAGAGTTGCAAATATTTGGTGGGCACAAGTATCAAAGAAGACAAATAATAGGTCAAAATGAAAGGTGAAACCTAGACTAAACAATAATTGGAAGAATAGCAACTCAACCACATTATATCATATTATAAACTGTAGGCGTGGTACATTACTCAATGATTATATTACTATGTTAGTTTTGTAATTATAAAGAAGCATGAACATATAAGTTATTACAAGTGTCCATGATGTGTGACTACTTTGATGTCATTTGAGTTACATAAACCATCTTTTAGGAAAAGTTTACTTAGTTGTTTGTTGTCGAACAGTTTTGCAAGCCAAGTGTGTTGCTGATATTATATAGCAGCATATTTCCCCAAACTTTGAGTAAAAGTGCCGATTGTTGTTGAACTTTAGGGAAAACATCAAAATTCCCCCCAAAATCGGGAGATTGAGGTGATTACCCTAAATTTGTGTAAGTACTATAGCAATACTAGAGAACACAAAAATTTGCACATTGATTTCCTTGAAGTTTTGGGGAAAACGCCTGGCCCGGGGGAATTTCACTTGCATTTTACTCGAAAATTTCAGTGTGGTTTTGAAAAATTCTTGAAATCATCTGTAATTTCGGGAAAAACGGTATGTTTAAGAGACCGGAAATTATTACTGTTTGCGATTCTCCCTGACTTACTAATATTTTTGAACATAAGTGGGACATTATAGAATTGATCCGTGAACCTTTACAGTTAATAAAATTTCCAACAATATCTAATTTGAACGTTTTAACTAACTGTATGGTTAGAGAAATAAAAAGGAAAGTTTTCCATAAGATTTACACAAGGCCTTTCGATTTTTATAGAAAAGTTAACACTAACAGAATTAGTAGACGGTATTAAGAATATTTCCCAGCTCGGACCAGTGGAGCAACCACATTGGATGGGCAACGATTCAAAGGATCGTCCACTTGTGAAGATTGCTGAGCACTTGAAGGTCAAGCCGTCGTAAAACGATTGGTGCGTTACCCCGACAGTTTGTATGGTCATACAGAAGCGGTCAAATTAATATATTTTTAGATTGGAATTGAGTTTCGCCACACTATATCTAATAACACCCATTCTTCGAGCAACAAAAACGAAGCCATCGTGATGATCATCACGATGGCATGAAATAGAACTAATTTTTAATGATATGTTATCGCGACGATTTGCAAGCTGGAATAATTTTGAGACCTGTTTGAAAGAAGTACATTAGTTAATATGACATCTTTGGTAGGTAATTATTTTTACAGTATACGCACACCAATTTAAGAAAGCATTGCAGGCAAGCGCACTGCGAGTATTAAAGATACAATAGCCATTAGGTCATATCTAAAATGCCTATACTCTAATGGGTAAAAGGATTGTGGTTTAAGGCTCTCTTCATAAGGCTTGAATTTGAGTCTACAAAATGATTTCGTGTGTAATTTTGACAAAATTTTCGTTAATGCCTGCAGATTCTGATTATTTTATATGTTTGTCTAATTACCTGTATCCATTACATTGAGTTAGAAAAATAGAAAGTTAATTTAATCAACTTGGGATCCAGTTAAAAACCATTTGCATATTGTTCGCTTGAAAAACTAACTCCCTGTGAACCTAAAAAGCTACATAACTTATTAGATGTTTGTAGTCTACCGAAAATGGTCACCCGATTCTGACCGAAGGCACTGTTTCGACTGTGAAGTCGGTTATCGGTTTGCTGTGAGAAACCTGGTGAATCTATCTATGCATGTCAGTAGATAATACAAGCCATTAGAACGCAGTAAATAATTTACCAATTAGGTATTAACGCAGGCAAAATGTGCATCTGACTTTCAGAAAACTCCGATAGAAGAATTTGTGTGACGGTTAACCCTTAATTTCGGGCACACCGAACACTTTAACCGAATTGTGTACAGCATTTTGTAAATTTGGCTATATGTATCTGGCATTGATTAGTCTGGTAGTAGCCTTCGTGCACAGTTTTGAGGGTCGAGGCATCGCCAGTAAATGAAACTGCCTTCAGTAGGTGATGGTTCTTTGCTGCAAATGGGTTTCGCAATTCTTGATATCGTTCAAAATCGTCTCGAAATTTACTGTAGATTGTTGTATTATTTTCATTTCCATCCGAAATAATGCATCTTCCGCCTGGTTGTCCTGACCTTTGACATGTCGGACATCACTGATGAACTGTGATATATAGTCAAGGTGTCGGACCTATAGGGGAGGACATTTATCATCTGCAACTTTCAATGTATTGGTTAGTGGTTTATGACCTGTATAAACTATGAACTCCCCATCTTACAACATGTGTCAGAAGTGCTTGATGGATAGTTAGACTGCAAGACGTTCTCGTCCGATGGTCCAAGATCTAGTGTCTGCTGAAACGAGTCATTTTGAGGAGATCGCAATCGGTTTTCGGGCATTTCCAATTTGTTTGTTAAGGATATTGTCTACTGCTCTTTCTGAAGCTTCCACCATCGAGGAAAGTGGGGAGTAAGGATTCGGATACGTTGACGTAGATGCTTGAGATAGTTTATCCTTTAGCTATTTAACACCCTCGATAGCCTCAGAATTCAGCCTAAATTCTTTTGGTTTCCCCACAAGAGAATCTGTCAAAGGTTGCATCGACCTTGCACAATCAGGTATGAACCTACAATAAAAGTTAACTAAACCATGGAAATCCTCTTAGTTGTATTAAAAAGCTTGGTTTGAGTCATTGCCTAACGTTTTTTTCGTTTTATTTGATCGTTATAGTTCTTTCTGTGCTCATTTTATATCCGAGAAATTCTGATGTTTGTACACTGAATAAACACCTGCTTTCATGTATTCTCTTTCTAATTTTATCCGGCTGTGTTTACGCTGCGATCACTTTTTGTTCATGTTATTTCTAATCCAGACTGGCAATCAACAAGTCGGATTCATACCCATGAGCAAAAGAAATATCCCGAAGTATGTTGTGCACAAATGCTTGTGCCGCGTTTGGTGGGCCGAATGGCGTACGTGTTTCGTGCCTTTAGGTAACCCTCGTGCTATTGTGATATCACCTCACTGTGCAATGAATATACAATATAACGCAGTCAGACGTGGCGAATAAAAATTATAACCGAAGCAAAATTAACAACATAATGTAGTTATTTAATTAAGAATACATTATGAAATGACAAAATCTGTGGTTACTCGAACGCACAGATGACTCTGGGCGATACATTAAGTTTACATAGTTGCGTTGCGGCTTGATTCACTCAAGAAAGTAGACTAGTAGTGAATAGGTCTTTATTTAGATCTTCGCGCAGTCACAGTGGAGCATGGATTTACCTGTTCATACAAACAAATATAACACCTATACAAAATAAGGAAGTGAATGATTTCTTGAACTCTACTGTTTTGACATATGCTTAGTTCTTTGAGGTCAATTTTTAAATAATCAACCTAAGCTATTATACGCACAAACTTGAACAATCCGAAAGTGTTGTAATAGCTGTTTTAAGGACATATTCCCCAACTTCTGAGATGTCGTGTAATGCCCTGACCAAGTCAGTTTTGGTAAATGTGTTCAAACCTCGTAAACCGTTTACGCAATTCGGGATATGAGTTACTGGGCATCTAAATGTTGCAGTTTGACGGTTGATCGTTATGTTACTCCCTAATGGTCGTCATTTGCCATCATTTTTTGGACCATGTGTAGAGCGAACGGCGATTGACTGTCAGATAGACAAATAATACACAACCGTATCGTGAAGCCAGATTCGACCTGACCCATTTTAAGTTCATCTCGTGATAGTCTCTGGAGTATAGTAAACACAGTTGCACTTTCAATTCAGATCGTATCACTTACCAATAGTTTACTTTGGAAGTCTGAGGGTTCGGTATGGTAATGTTTGGAAATCCTGCGAGTATAACATGGAATTTCTCAGTTGTTACTGGCGGATTCTGTATAAAGTTAAGATAAATGATGTGAATTTCACAATCTCACACGTGACATTTGAACTCAGCACTTTTCAGACAATACACGGTGTCGTGTTTCCTTCTTTTTAACTTCAGGGTAGTCACTTACTAACTAGTAAGATCATCTGATATACTATTTACCGGTGGCATAAAGTTGTTGAGACCCATACACAACATGTCAGATAGCGAAATGTCACAGGATATCCTAAATTCACTGGTTAAGTGGATGTGTGGGTGGTCGTTAAAAGTTAACGAGAATGCGATGATGCAAATAAGTGGCCACGATGATTTATGCCATTGCAAAATATGTGGAGTTGTATTATCTGATATAATTGACTATAAAGATCTATAAGTCATTCTGCGCAACGACCTCAGGGCTACGAGTGGTTGATACTCTGCCGCTGCCAGAAACTTGAGTATCTCAAGGGCTATTCGTGCGTCATTTTATTATTTGGACTAAGAAATATTTAAGGTACTAAATCGGCTATTGTATGGCCACATTTAGAATATGGCATTCATTCAGCGAGTCCTGGTGGATACGCCAGGGAGAGTTCTACGGAGAGATAATAAAACTGTAAAAGTTGCTCTGTTCCATCTTATGGACGCAAAGTGCGAGGCCTAAACTTACTACAGTTATCATGCCACAGGTTACGGGTTGATCAATTACTGACTTAACATATATTGAACGCTGTACTTGATATTCATCTGTCTTATCTTTTTCCTTCATCTAGGACTAATAATCTGAGAGTGTACTCTGAATAACTCCAGAAACTTAGATCAAATTATTTACACCTGGAGTTCTGTTTCCCTCAACAAGTAGTGAATTACTGACATTCTCTACCAGAACACGTAATATGACCACTTTCTGTTGGTATTTTCAAAGAGGAAATTCATTTTCACGATGCTACAGACTGCAATGATTAACATAAATCGATTGACCTCCTATGTTTACATCTAAAAACGGGTGTTTGAATTCTCTGCATTCAGGGTCATTGTTACTGTGACTACTTAAATGTCGTGAATTATGACTGAAGGTGACCAAGAAAGCACCATAAAATACTTGAGTTTCGTCTTAGATAACTGCAAAGAAAATAGTGTGTACCTAGTTTTCGATCAGGTACATAATTCCCTTAGGTCCTTATTGCTTAGGAAAAAGTAAGCAAACTTTTCCCAAAACATTAATTCCAGGAAATTAAAAAATGATGAAGTCGAGTCCATATATAGGACATATAGTCATCTGTTCAGAATTTCTGCTAACTTTGATAGATCCAAAGCCTGTGTTGAATTCCTGGACGACATGAGTACTGTTTTGTACTTAATCACAACTGAAAATCCTGACTGTAAATTATGGTCATTATTGTCTGAAGAATGTTGTCTGGCTTTGACTTCAGCACTAAAAACCTTGTTTTCGTCTATAAGATACAAGCAAGTTTTTAACGTCCTTAATTATGTAGTGAAGTAATGTCAGTTATCGCACCCGAATGTTTGCCGATCATCAGCCACATCTGCTCCTTCTTATTAGATTTGAGCGAATATTCCAAGAATCGCGATGTATGCTGCAATTCACTTAGCACTTTGTCGCTTGTCTCCCTCCCTGTAAATGCTTTTCATGAGGTGAATGATGACGCTGATGATTTACTCAAAGGTCATCTTGCCAACTCGTTAAAGAGCTTCTTACCAGGATTTTCCCAATCATTCTACAGAATCATAACCGCCAATCATAAGGTGTGGTCAAGTATCAGAGTGGTATGTACAGTATCTTTTATAAATTGATTCATTCAGGCTGCATTCGATGCTTGGTCTTCCATACTGATTTCTGTTTTTCAAAACGAACCTAGTTCTAATATCGTACAAAAGAGTATGTTTCAATCTTCTAAATTCCGTCTTATGTATATCCTATCCCTTAAACTCAAAAGCATATTATAAGTAGGATAAAAAGTCGTTATTAAGTTTCATGCAACTGGGTTTTTCTGTTAGATATATCCTAAAATACACTAACTTCAAATTTTTCAACACTATCTGTGTGTAAGGATCTCTTTTAAAAGACGGCTCTTCCACCTCCAACTCTTGTTATATTTGAAGACATGGTCGCATATTAGGGTGTTCAGACTAAATTTTATCCTTTTTTATCGTCGTTACTTTACATACTTAGATGTACCTTAAATTCATTCCTAAATATTCTTTCAAAACTTCAATTTTTTTTATCTTTGCTTTAATTTGGTTACGTCCTCTTGCTTCTTAAGATTGAAACGTCCTGTAGAAATTAATGGGACTTCGATCATCTTAAGCTTCTAAGGACAAGCTGACCGTGTCATTCTGAAGTCCTTAAGGTAGAACTTAGTGTTCGAGTCATAGTGATGACTTATGAGTGCTTAATTGAGTTATTTATCAAACAGAGTTATCCTCGGTATTTTTCTCCAGTTTTGATTTCAAATTCTTTAGCCTCAATGTGAACCTACTTTTCAAATTGCTCAGGCCAGTAGTAAATCATTTGCAAATAATCTACGTTCCTCCGGAAAATTTTGACTCATTTTCTCTAAGGCTTGGTCCTAACCCAAACAATTACACAAGTATGACGCTTGTCGATTAGACCTACTTCCCAAACGTTGCTTATTTTCATACGGCGGAACGACTTCTCTATCATAACTAATTGACCAGATTATTTCAATGAAAACGCTTTTACCTCAAAGTTCTGTAGCTCCAGCCGTGTCGTCTAGATAGATTTAAGACTAAAAGCAGCAAGTAATAAGTTAGACATTAGGGTTTGAATAAAATCAGAGACAGACGAGACAAGTAGCATCAATCTACAAAGTCACTTGCTGTTCAATTTTTTTGAGAAAGTGCATACCTTGTAAGTCGAGCCGTGATTTAGGATTTTGAACGGGTTATATGGCCCCAAGTCGATCATGTCTGCGCAGTTGGATTTTTCAAATCCTGATTGTTGGGTTATCCTTCTGAGTTGAAGTGAAGTGTAACAGCTTGAACGGAATACATATTCTTAAAAGGTCTGATGTTTAATATGACCAGATAAACTGCCTTATGCTGTATTAGATTGTAGTGAACAAAATACATCATTGTTTCGTAACAATTTAGGTTAGAAATTTGCGTGAAGTTCGTGTTTCAATTTAGAGAGCCCCTTTTCTGTTACCATACGTTTTGTGATTGAAGGGATGTTAAAATCTGGTGAACAGTTATGAAATATAAAAGAATGTTGTTCAAGTTTATTATTGTACAAGTTGTTTGTCCCAGTTCAGCTATCGGAATAATGTATGGTAAATTCACAGACTCCTAACATTCTATCACCTTTGTTTTGGAATCATTACTTTTATTTGGTGGAACAACTGAATGAGCGATGTAGAATTTAAACGAAGACTGCTACTTTGAGTGCCAAGTTTGTTGATGAGTTAGTGAGTCCTCATTGGCTATGGTGGGTTGTACTTGTGTTATATGAATGGAACTGATGTCTAGGTCGATGTACAATACTATCCTACACAAGATTAGCCTCAGGAAGAGCTAGGAGCGTCTAAGTCAAAGCGTGACTGTTGGTCTAAGCTCATTTGATAAGTTTACACTGCCTAGCTGGGATCCGTGCGATAACTGTGTCCATTGTTAGAAAACCCTGTGTAAAGTAGTGACACAGATGCATCAATACGACTCCGTCTTCGAACCTTAAGTTGCTGTTTTTAGTTTTACTGTTCTCCAACCAACGTACTTAACATCTCAAGACCTAAAGAAAAAAGTGGTTTGGTCAACAAAGTCGGATTGGGCCATCACGATATGCAAGGCCGGCCGCTTCTATAAGGCACCGGCTACTGTCAGAATTAAGTTTCCCATGTAAATTACCTCATATCGACTTTACTTCGTTTTTAACTTATTATGTTAGTAGATAATAACATGTTACATCCTCTCTAGTTATTTGTAATGCTTCTATATTTTGATTGTTTGTCATCTACAAAAACATATTTTATTTCACTTCAGCAAAGTCTACAACAGAGTGCAAACTTTTTACTTCCGAGTGGTTCAAAACAACTCAATCCCATATGACGTCTTTGGTCTCAAAAACTGTTGATAGTGTAATTCACATTCAGCTGGAGCTAGATGTAGACAGAAATGTACGACTATCTGTTGCGTTTGCACAGTGGTTGGGTGTATTACTACTGAAATGTCATTCACTGATCAATATTGGAGAAAGTCAGCACCTTAGATACACTGTAGTTTCTGGTCTGCTGATGCTAGCCTCACAGTCATCTTTAAGAAATTCGATATCAAACCAAAGTTCTCTCAAAGAAAGTAGTCTTCTAGCCCAAAAGTTATTGAGTGATTTCACCGCAATTCATGAAGGGAATATGAACTCTCTTATAGTTCCTAAATCACTTATCAATCTTTTTGGTCATGAATTAATAAGAAAGGCTGGTTTTGATTCTTTAACAGAACAAGTAAACTTTCTTTTGAGTCAACTCTTCAGTCTCCTAGGTACGTTTATGTGTAAAAATTTGCTTTCAACTTACAATAATTTCTGACACTTGTTGGGCTTCATAATTTTCATTTTACAACCGGAATTATGTTCAAAATTACTATTATTGGGGAACGTCATTCTTGTTCATTAGATCATTCTGTTTTCGTCTTTGAATTGACATCTTAGGCTTCCTACATTTCATTGAATCACAATATACATGACCGATCTTTAGAATCGTTGACCACGCAAAAATGTATGTGATAATTTTTAGTCCGGGATTGTTGGATATGACCAACTTCAACCCGTGGCTATGTGTTTTTCTTATGAATACCTAACCTATGTAACTGAAGTGATGAAGATCGTGTAGCAGTAATGGAGGTTTATTGTATGCGGTTCTATACTTCATCTGTGGACGCTTAAAACCCGTTTTAAAATCGGCTTGAGGTTCTCAGTTGCCGTAGTTAACAAATTGTAATTTAAACCAATGAACTAATTAGTTATAAAATGACTTTTCCCCGAGTTATTATGCCAGTATAGTGTCACTTAGATCGAAAGATGTTATCAAATTCCTGCTTGATTTCTTATATTTTATACATGACTCTTATATTCTCGTCTATTGAATCATATCTTCTACTCACTGATTGTCAATCTAAGAGTGTGAAGGTTTTCTAGTTAGAGTAACAAAAATAACTATTCACTGTTTTTAATGATGCACATTTGTGCTAGACCCCCGGTTGTTCAGCCCATTATCTGTCTACTGATTATTATCACCGAAAGTAATCTGGAATCCATAAATTCATTGATAATTGACACAGTGGTCCTTAGTTAACGTTCTAGAGTCTATCTAGTAGGTTTCAACATCTCTTTTGTGACTCAGATGAGATTCTTACTGGGGAATGAACAATTAAAACCACTGCCGAATTTTATTGGGATTTCGCAAGAAGAATTATCGGATAGTTATAATTTTATGATTATTAACAATACTCCACCTCAATCATTTCACTACCTAATACTAGATCACTTTATCGGTAAGTCCATTTCAATCTATTTCGGCTTGTCAGACAGGTAATGCAGTTAATCATAGCATAGAATATGTAACCTGCAAATTAATGCATAATCTTTTACACTATTACCTTGTCTAACCAGTTTTATTGATTTCTGATTGCTGACTACATCTATAGTATAAATATCAGTTAATATTGCCTTCTAATTGACTAATTTCCAGATGAATCACAACTACAGAAGCGATTAAGAACAATCCTTGGTCACTTAAATGTTTTAGGTAATTCAAAATTGTCCATGTTTTATATTTAACTTAATACAGTTGGTAGATAAAGTCCCCTGATTACAGTATTTTTATTGGATTTATCCTATTTGTTCCTTAAATACCCATGTCAACACTTTAGAATTCCTTATCATATCATTTTATTTATGAAAAAGTGTGAGTGTAACACTTTCATGAAAATTAATTTCAAGTTTTAAGATCGACGCCCTGTTTTCTCGTTTTTAATGAATTGAAAGCCCAGAAAATTACTTGAAATACAGCAGTATCACATGTTGTATTTAGAGAATGGTCGTGAACAGATGACCGCACCATCCAGACTTATATAATCGGTTTCTACTTTAAATTATTTTCAGTGATACAAACCAAATGGTCCCCTAAAGGAATCCCGGAAACTAACTGATTGTTATTGTTTACATGCTATTCATCATAACTGTAGGGATTCTAATCAGTTGTATCCAGCAAATCGTCTCACAATAACTATCAAGAAACCCATTAAGAATGCATGTTTACTCCCATGCAAATGCAATTTTTATAAATTAATTAATATATTTGTAATATCTCAATGAGATATTGCAAAAATATTAAATTATTTATAACAATCTACCTAATGCTCAATTTATTCGAAATTATCAAGTCAAACCTTGGTAATGATACCTAAAATTTTTATAGTTAACATCACGAACTGATCTTAGTTAAACAACCTTAGAAAAACAAGAGGCATTGGACAAGTGTTTCGTTTTAGTACGGGACTCCTCAGCAGTGTGCATTCATAACCCTATCACCTGTGAAATTTTGAAAATCTCCATAAAGTCTCCATAGTAACATGATTTTTAGTTAGTATTTTGGTATCTTCCCGATACTCTGAAATGTTTTCTATATTTCAAACCAGTGATTGACTTATTATCATTTTAATGCTGGAGTAACAAGATCGTCTATTTCACTGTAAATGGACGATTAATCTGTCAAAACGTCTTCATATTTTACAGTTTCTTTTGTGTCTAACGATTAGAAACCTCAGTGTTTTGTTTTTGCATTTTATCTGTACTTGATTCAGATCCTGAGGATATTTGTACTTTTGTTCATTCATCTGAAACTTTTCATCGCTTTTGTTCTGCTTTGGCCAAATTTTTGAACTTTAATTTTAGTTCTGTTGAGTTGCAAGAATTAATCTATTTGTTGCCACTCAATTACGATCATAGTTCTGGTAAGTAAAAAGAATAACTGAGGCTTCACATCCAATATCCACTATACGTTTCATATGTTATTCTTTTTGTTTGAGGTATGCAAATGGTTGAAATGAAAACAAGCAGTTTTCGTTGTTTGTATCTGCGATATACATTTTTATTTTGTAGTTTACATCACAGACTGTATGGCAATTACACACCATTGACATTGAAAGTCGGTCGCCGAATATCTCATGTTGATTAAAGTTAAACATGTACACTGTTGGATGCCGTGTCCACTTTCTCCTTTTTTGTTTAACTTTATCATAGATCTACTGATGGAAATAACGCTCTCATCGACTGACTTCTCGGGTATTGATCTCCTACCAGGAGGTCCACTTATTGACTTAGAATACGCAGATGACATAGTCCTGTTTGGTGAAGACGCTGATGAAATGCAGAGTCTTTTGGTAGCACTGAGCAACAATGCTAGAATGTTTGGGATGCGCTTTTCTCCCTCTAAATGCAAGTTGTTGCTTCAGGACTGGTCTGCATCAACACCTGAACTAAGGATAGGGGGTGAAGTAGTCGAACGCGTTGACAACTTCACTTATCTTGGAAGTCTGATCAGCCCTAATGGGTTGGTGTCTGACGAAATCTCAGCACGGATTCGAAAAGCTCGCTTGGCCTTTGCCAACTTACGTCATCTATGGCGAAGGCGAGATATCCGTCTATCAATTAAGGGACGAGTATACTGCGCGGCAGTTCGTTCCGTCCTTCTATACGGCTGCGAAACATGGCCTTTAAGAGTGGAAGATATTCGTAAGTTACTAGTATTTGACCACAGGTGCCTTAGAAATATTGCGGGTATCTGCTGGGATCACCGGGTAAGTAATAGTGAGGTTAGACGCAGGGTACTAGGGAATGATGGTAAATTAGTTGATGAGGTTATGAATCTTCATCGACTGAGATGGTTGGGCCACGTGTTGCGTATGCCTGAACACCGATTACCACGACGCGCAATGCTGACTAGTACAGGGGATAATTGGAAGAAAGTTAGGGGCGGCCAAACCAAAACGTGGCATCAGTGCTTGAAGTCACTAACTTCTGGTCTGAGCTATGTTGGTAGATGCAGACTGCCTGGTTGGGGTCCGCGTGACTATCGTAACCAATGGTTGGAGACTCTTGGTGATATGGCTCAGAATCGATCACAATGGCGTCGGTGTATACACTCTCTGTCTTCCTTAAATTAAGAGATTAAAATCGCTTCATATCTGTCTAGGAACTAATTCTTTCTTCCTTTACTATCTCCTTATACACAATCTTTCTTCTATATATTACCACCACTGAATTAACTAGTCCTATGAATTCGGTGTTCATGTTGTTGTGCTAATGCGGTATGGCAACTTGGACCGATGCATATACGTGCCTGGTCCTACGTTGCAGCTGACTGACTGACTGACTGTTGGATGCCGATTCGTCACTCTAAGGTTTTAGATCTCGTCACGAGACCTCAATATTCTGAGTTTAATCCTAATAATTCCCACAAATCCTTCATACATATTTCACTATTTATTGCTCCAAAATCACCTTTTAATAACTTTTTACCGCTGTTTGCAGTATATGTCAAATGTTTGAAATTTTTGGTCGATAACCTTATAACCAGTGGGGTAGAGGCCTTTGTTATTGAGATGTTCAACAAGTTAATTGTATTCGTATCAGAAGTATTTACTAATGCTATAAAGGAAGTGTGTCCAATCTTTTGACGAATAATGAATTTTAAAGATCGTTAGTATGATGAATAGTATGTTAATCAACAATGATGCAATATACCCGAGTGATAACTCTCCACGAGACTGAATTATCAGTGTAAGCACCTAAATGAAGTGTTACTTAATAATAAGATATTTAGCTGGTAGTATAAGCTGTGTTGTAGTAAAATTACGTGCTTAAATAGATAATACTTGACACAAAAATGTTGGGGGATGTACATTTTCTTGGTCGCCCCCAAATGCCCTGGTACGGCCGAGAGTGGGGAGAGTCCGCTCTCCCTCTCGAAATGCTCTCACATGGCCATGCGTATATACCCTCTGCCAGGGAAGTCCTACTCACTGCCTTCTCGTGGTGGGGGTGTTGTTTACAAAAATGAGAGGACGAAAAGCGAATGTCTGGCGCATTAACCGGACCCCAAACCAATGGTGCACATGGGCTCCAGTATCCTGCGGGAACAAATGGCGTATGAACCAATCGTTGGTCACCGGCTACCATGGGACTGCATCTCCTTACGATGCTCCACTGCCTTGTGGGTCGGACGTTCAGGTCAAAGGCTCGGGGTGTGGCCCCCTAAGAAAACCACCTGCTTCGGTTTGGGCACCCGGGCAGTATCACATCCCTCACACAAATCAATTGAGATTTGTGTGGCGCATATGTATTTGGTGCCTCTCTGTACCTATACTTATGTGTTAAAATAAATAAATAATATAAATAAATTTTCTTGGTCACTCACAAGTAAGTTAAAGACTGATTGTGCAAATTATTTCTGATTCATCTCTATTAATGGCTCTTTAGAGTACGTCACTATATATTTAGTGTCCACATTTTGGTTTATTATGGCGATAATAATGTTAAGTAGATGACTATCCATTACTCGAACAGTTAGAAGAAGCCCTTACAAATTTTGCGGAATCGATGGTTCACTTACATGGCGGTGTTTGTTCACCAATTACTACACGTGTATGCAACTCTATTTCTGATGGAGAATGGTGGTTGATATATTTCATTCACAATCTACTTGTCTCGCTATCAAATTATATATCAGTTCGATTACAATATATTGTAATTTGTTCCGATGGTTAATGTGACTGTCGGACTCATTAATAGTATTCCGACTTACTATTGATAATTACGTAATGGAATTGAAATTCTGTTTATCTTATCTTGCTGATTGCATGAAGTCTAACACTTTATTATATTGTACTAAATTGCTTCTCAACATAGCTTTGTCATTAGACTTTGGAATTATACACTCATAATAGAACAACTAACTTCAATCTCGTTTATTTTCTACTAGTTCATTGTATTCCCGCAAACGCTATACTACCGTGTAATTTATTCCGAAAGTCATTTCAGTATTTTCGTGATCATTCGACATTGATGCTAATTCAGGCCATTGCCGGAAAAATAGCATCTCAAAGTAAGTTTGTTATATTTTGACTGATTTTTTTTGTTTGTTTGTATGTTTAACGCTTCAATAATCTACACAGTCATTGTATCATCTCATTTCTCATGAATTAGCAACCAGGGTTCCTTCCCGATAGTAATATAAGTAACTGAATTCAGATGCATAAACGAATCGTCTGACATTAAAAAACCTAGATTTCATTCTTTTAGTAAAGTGGTACTATATGCCTACATATGAGTTCTATCCTACGCTTACATGCCTCGCAGTATGTACAACTATGTATAATGGAGTATTTGCGTAGTGCTTGTTACTTTTGAAATAGTAACCCGTGAAATCCATCCCAGGCGTTATAAGATCCTGATTCAGTCTACTATTTCTTTATACTAACCTCTTAAGAGTGGTGGATTATCTGAGTATTCCAAATCACTAGTTTGTTCACTAAAAAGGACCAGTGTCGAGATTACTAGTCGATGAGTAAGTCTAACGAAAGCTGATGAGTGTTAGTATCTCGTTAAATAGGAATGTAAATATACAAGTAAGTTCAAATTATATGTTATTAAGCGGCTGGACCTACTAGTAATTCGTTTATTAGGTAGTGTTATCCATTATCAGTTTTAGATAAAAATTGAACATTTTGCTAAGTAAAAAGTATTTGTTCTAAAGGGTTTTGCATATCAGTCAGTTATTTATGCATTCTACACTCAAAATACTGGTAATTCTCTATAGCACGAACTTTTTTCCCAAATTGTTGTCATATTACATTGCTTTATATTTTGAAGGATATCACAGCACATATATTTCGTTTAATTTTTACAGGAGAAACGGTTGACTTATTTGTGGATACATGTCGAGATATTATGATTGAAAGTGATAACTGTTTACGTAATTCATGTCTTCTACTTATCGTAGGTGCGATTGCTGGTTATATCTCTCGCGGTAAGTTATTCAATGGTGATAGTAGTCGATTTAATCTTATGTTCTCTCGTAGTTGAGATTTATTTCATTTACATCTTAAAATGTTATTCTTTTACTTCTGTCTGTATTGTCTTATCGAAAAACGTTTTTCTCTTTTACTCGAAATAGATATCATGTCCAACTATAACTAGATTCGTAAATAGGAGCGGCTACTCATTGTCAAAATCTTCCACTCAAACTACCCCTTAGGTCCGAATCCTAGCCTACTTATTTTGATTTGGTCGTCTAATTATCATCGCTAACTTCCACACAAACAGTGTAATTCAAAGACGAATGCCTAAGATTTGATTTGACAAATGACTAGTACATATCCATGCAGTTCTGTCAAGTGATTTGCTTGCTGGTCTTGTGGAGTCGTGATTTCGCTTCGGAAGTTGTTATTTTAAAGCTTCCCCTCTGACTTAAAAGTTTTTATTTTTTAGTAAAGGGAAATTTACTAGCGTATGCACACGTATAGTATTCATTACATTAGTAAAATCCCAGCAACATACATTTGTACATTTACCTTCATGCAAATCTTCAGCTTTGCAAGTCATTTCTTTCCCTTCATATATATTTTCCTTCATGGTTTTCAACGATTGTCTAGTGCAAATCAGGCTAATCGTCTGAGTGAAAACAGTCCTTCTGCTTGAGCGACTTTTCATACACTGTCTAACTGAAAAGAAAACTTATAAAACTTGGCACAAATATATACTACTTTCAAGTTGTTACATTTCAAACTACAGCAATAACAGATTCATACTTTAATGAATGCTAATTATGTGCATAGGTCTTCATACTACTAAATTCGGATTTCAATTTTTCCGTTATAAATTCTACTCCCCTATCTATTCCTACAATATCCAACATACAATGGTGTAATTGGTTCCGTGGTATTTGTTAGATTGTGGTCAATGTTTATAACATTGTCGGTAGATTTATGCTTATTCACGTTCCTTCTAGAATTATTTAAAATATGTGTCGCTAATCTGTTCATTTTATTCGGAGGATTTTATTTTCTGTAGTATCTTATTACTTAGTAATGAAAAAACTGAATTTGTTGAATTTGTTTTTCTATACACTTAAATAATCATTGAGTGAGTGTACGAAGTGAGTGTTTGGGGTTCTGTATGAATCCACAATACTTGCGACGTTAGTAACGACTGAGTTACTCTAATACAACCGGTTCTGTTGCGTAAATCGATGACGACAACTGGCATACTACACTCCAAAAATTGGCCACTTACAGGCCTCCGAGTGCCCTGGTACGACTAAAGGTGGGGAGAGTCCGCTCTCCCTCTCGAAATGCTCTCACGTGGCCACGCGTATACAGTCACGTCTAGGGAAATCCTACTCATTGCCTTCCCGCGGCCGGGATACTTTATACGAAAGTAAGAGGACGGAAAGCGAGTGTTCGACGCTTTAACCGGGCTGGCGGATATGGAGGATCCACCTAGGGGAGTTCGAAGACCATGATTACAAACCACTGGTGTACATAGGACTATAAATGGGACTGCATCTCCTAAATTTTCTCCACTACCTTGTGGATTAGACCCTTAGGTCAAAGGCTTTGGGTGCGTGCCTCTACGAAAACCATCTGCTTCGGTTTGGGCACCCGGGTAGTATCACAGCCCCCACACAAATCAATGATAATTACTACTGGCCTCATTGTAATTGTATAGCGCATACGTATTTGGTGCCCCCTTGTATCGATGTTTATGTATCCAAATAAATAAATAGATAAATAAAAGTTTTTAGTGATTGTAAAAATGACAAGATATCCATCTTTCAACTTCTAAGTCTCAGGTTTAAATCCTACTTCATCTACTTCGGTTTATGAAACCAGCTATTATCACTAGCCCTCATATGTAAAGTGTCGTTTTAAACTAAGCACACGAATCTGGATTTGGTAAATGAGTTACTAACAATGAAAGGGTCACTTGTTGGGTACTCTCAGTGTGGAAGGATACTTTTTCTTGGTGGACGCAAGAAGGCAGGGCTTGTATTGACAATCTAGTAACTGAACCTCAGAGTTCTTTAACCGGTCACACATGGCCTTTCTGTGGATGATTTTCGGTGCATTAGCTTTGTACTTATCAGGCTTTACTGCTGGCAATAGAAATCTATGGGTTTAAGTGTACTGACCACTTATAAGAATGACCATTTACAATGCTTTTTCTGTTGTAAGAAGACGGTGTTGGTGGAGATACTGGTTGTTTGAGGTAAACATTTTACTACCATCGCACCCCAGTACAATCAACAACACACCACCCTCTAACTGCAAGTTTTGTGGTTTTAGTCCTGCCGTTCTTCGACCAACCTCCCTGACACAGTTGAACCTAGATGAATGAGTTTTCTAGTCTCATCATAATAAGCAACACTGACTACCACATCAAGGTAGCAGCTATGGTCAACTCAGAACTCATTGTAAAGCTGAAGTTCTTTTCCGTTCTCATCGTAGAATAATTACCCATAACTCGCTGTAGAACTGCAAATATACTTATGTATAACTGATTTCCATTTTTAATGCCTAGATTTCTGACTGACTATGGATCTTAAAAAGAATGTATAGAATTATTTGGTTATTGAAGTTTTACTGTTTGTGTGCGCTATGAATTTCACCTTCTTTAAAATCAAGAATATTATGCGTTAATCAACTGTGAATACAAAATATTAACTTTATGCCATCTATGTGGAAATTATTTAATTCAGTTTCTCAATATCCATTACTCTGAGTAACCATTCTTTTATTAGTTACAATATACATCTCTCTAAGATTTTATTTTCAAATTTATTTCGTTTATTTTTTAAAACGAATCTCATTTGATTTGTTTGTCTTTTTCGTGTCCTTCATATTAGATAAAATACCATGGAGTGAGCGTGAAAACCTTTGTTTGTAAGCTTATTTTCATTATGTTATGTAGATTGAATGTTTGATATGTACGTGTAAAGTAAAATAATGACTTGATGAAACTTTAGCTACACTTGATTTGTTTGTCTAATTACCTGTATCCATTACATTGAGTTAGAAAAATAGAAAGTTAATTTAATCAACTTGGGATCCAGTTAAAAACCATTTGCATATTGTTCGCTTGAAAAACTAACTCCCTGTGAACCTAAAAAGCTACATAACTTATTAGATGTTTGTAGTCTACCGAAAATGGTCACCCGATTCTGACCGAAGGCACTGTTTCGACTGTGAAGTCGGTTATCGGTTTGCTGTGAGAAACCTGGTGATAATACAAGCCATTAGAACGCAGTAAATAATTTACCAATTAGGTATTAACGCAGGCAAAATGTGCATCTGACTTTCAGAAAACTCCGATAGAAGAATTTGTGTGACGGTTAACCCTTAATTTCGGGCACACCGAACACTTTAACCGAATTGTGTACAGCATTTTGTAAATTTGGCTATACGTATCTGGCATTGATTAGTCTGGTAGTAGCTTTCGTGCACAGTTTTGAGGGTCGAGGCATCGCCAGTAAATGAAACTGCCTTCAGTAGGTGATGGTTCTTTGCTGCAAATGGGTTTCGCAATTCTTGATATCGTTCATAATCGTCTCGAAATTTACTGTAGATTGTTGTATTATTTTCATTTCCATCCGAAATAATGCATCTTCCGCCTGGTTGTCCTGACCTTTGACATGTCGGACATCACTGATGAACTGTGATATATAGTCAAGGTGTCGGACCTATAGGGGAGGACATTTATCATCTGCAACTTTCAATGTATTGGTTAGTGGTTTATGACCTGTATAAACTATGAACTCCCCATCTTACAACATGTGTCAGAAGTGCTTGATGGATAGTTAGACTGCAAGACGTTCTCGTCCGATGGTCCAAAATCTAGTGTCTACTGAAACGAGTCATTTTGAGGAGATCGCAATCGGTTTTCGGGCATTTCCAATTTGTTTGTTAAGGATATTGTCTACTGCTCTTTCTGAAGCTTCCACCATCGAGGAAAGTGGGGAGTAAGGATTCGGATACGTTAACGTAGATGCTTGAGATAGTTTATCCTTTAGCTATTTAACACCCTCGATAGCCTCAGAATTCAGCCTAAATTCTTTTGGTTTCCCCACAAGAGAATCTGTCAAAGGTTGCATCGACCTTGTACAATCAGATATGAACCTACAATAAAAGTTAACTAAACCATGGAAATCTTCTTAGTTATGTTGAAGAACTTGGTTAAGCCGTTAAGCTTCTGGTATCCTGCTTCGGTTTGGGCACCCGGGCAGTATCACAGCCCTCACACAAATCAATTGAGATTCGTGTGGCGCATATGTATTTGGTGCCCCCTTGTACCAATACCTATGTGTTAAAATAAATAAATAATATAGTTATCATAACTGATGACTTAATTCACAAAACTTTTTTAACCAACATATGATATTTCTGATTAACACTGAAATTTATTTAAATTTCGTGTTTACATATTTTTGTTTCTTTTCAGAAGCCTTATGAGTTTATACTTTGATCGAGACATATTGACATTACCTACGCGTCAATCTAACTATGTGAACACCACTGGTGACATTATCACTAACGATAATAATGGTATGGATTATTCGACATCGCTAGTCCATTTATCAAATGATAGATTATCTACCAATCATCTGTCTAATGTAAGCACATATAAATCATGGCCACCTGTAAATTCTAATGAGAATCCTGCAAAATCTGATATAAATCATCTTGGCGATATGAAAATGAATTCAATTACAATCTGTTTATTACTAGAAATGTTTTGTACTGTTTCACAGGTTAGCTTCACTTGCGTTTTTATTTGTTACTTAACATTAAATGGATAAAAATCTGTGTAGTGAAATAATTTCATTCTAATTTAGGTTTATTGCTTTATTAGTGAATGTTACCACTACTTATCATCAATGTCAATTTGTTAAGTTATTGGAAAAAAACAGTCAAGAAGCTTTAGCTAGTGACTACTGATGATCCCTAGGGGAATCAAAGTCTCATCATCTAGAGTTTCAGTAGCATAGCAGTTGAACAAATGGCTTTTAGGACTAAAATATCTGAACTTATTAATCCGCCTTAGCATAAATCAATGTCATGTCACATCTAAGCTTAGTCGATTAAACCTGATCAACCTGAATTGGAAAACATGTAATTAGCAGTTTTTTATTAGTCAGTTACTCCAAATAATTCAGCCATGACTAGCTCGGTGGTGAAATCTTCATCGTAGGGTGATACCTGTACGAATCCCATAGAGAACGTCAAGTTGGAGATGCCCTTTTTCAACCAGCACAATACTCCTACCATTTTGCCTCCAACTAATTGTAATAAAGTAAAGCTCACTCCATCCTCCACAGTCATATTAACTCAAAGGATTAGACAATTGGTGATTTTGTTTACTCATTAACTTATGATCGGTCAGTTTTGGTCTATTGCTCAGGTTCCTGCGAGTAAAGCCTTTCGTTCTTTTCTCATTTTGATCTTATTTCTTCAAAATGAACCATTGACTAAACAAAATACTGATTCCTTTGCCAAATTACTACCAAGTTACAATTCTTTATTATGATGTTTAAAGTTATGGATTATTGTGTATACAGTATGTACTATGTATGTGTGTGTATAAGAACACACACAAATGTCTACTTTTAGATATCCTTTAAATAAACTTAACGTATTAACCAGACACCGTCCTATGTATTTGATCTTAAGCTACATTGTTTGTGTAATGGCTAGTACTAACACATTATAACTTCGCAAACTGAAGTAGATGAACTAGGCTTTACATGTACGATTGATTAGTTAAAAGTTGAGTAATCTGACTATTTGGTGGTCACTGTTCTGTGAAAAGTTCCAAAGAAGAGTATGCACTGTGTATTTGTATAGCTTGTGAGTCGATCGTTATGTATTAAATACGTGCTAATAAATCTGTGTTGCATGATTTGCCAGTGTTATATTTACATACTATACAAAAAGTAATATCATGAAAAATTAGATAGAATGTGTAATCATTCACCACACCATTGTGTTTGCAGTGTTATCACCTATTTTTGTCTTAGGGAAAATATCGATCATTCAACGCTAATAGGACAAATCGAAAGGATACTACAAAATTCTCAAATAGTTCTATCAAATTCAGAGTAATAAACCTCATTAAGATCATTAACGGATTTAATGGATTTTGCAGCTGCTGACAGAATGTTTAGTCGTCCAATATCTGACTCCAGTTAAATAGTGTGCTGATTGTTATCGAAATATGCATACCGCCAACTGTTGTATGTAATCATCAACCTAATTGTCCCTAGAGAATAACGGAATGAAATATGCCAAATACGAGAATGAATTTTGAATACGTATATTTGCCACACCGGTTGGTCTGAACAGACAAGCAGGGAAACGAAGTGATTCGCAACGGAGAAGGAGCGTGAGCCAACACGTTCTGATCAAACGTGACTCAATATTTTTATCCAGACAAAAATAATTTACAGACATGTAATAAATAGGGTGAGCAATTAACACACATACGATCATATAAAAATGATCAGGATTAATAAGCGAATAATTGAGAAGGTAAAAATATGGCTTGAGAAGAATGAATAAATTGGTATGTCTAGAAGCTAGAACAGCCTATGTGGTCTTGACACAGTACCAGCCACTACAAATGTAAAAAAATTTGCAGAAAGAATTAAATACAAACAACTAATACAAATACTTTCTTGCTTATCCTTTATTTTATTTTATTTATTTTTTATTTATCACCAATCATCAATAGTTAAATACATTAACATTTAATAATGACGTTGAAAAAGTTCATTCTGATCAACATTTCACTGAATGCTTACGTATCGGTTTACTTCCAACTATATCATTTGCTTCACGTTCTGATTTAATCGGTCAAACTGCACGAGTTTGTTTAGATCAAGTAGCTAAGAATTGTAAATATTCAAGGTTAGTTTTATAGCGTGTGTTTTTCTCCAATTCATTTCAAATCATAAGTTGACATTTTTTAGAGTTTCTATTTGTATCACCCATATAATAGTTTTCTATGTAAAACGTTTAACTGCTAAAGCTTGTTTGAACCATCTATCAAGCTTAATAATTTCACTGTATCTGCTTGAATAACTAATTTTATGGAATACTGAGGACTTGATGTAATCTGATTTTCGAAAATCGCTATGTATTTCGTACATGGTATTTGGTTATTTCAATTTAATTAATAAACTATCTGCCTCAGACAATTTCAAGCTATTTGTTGGATGTTGTTTGCGAATGAATGTTTACTCCCCTTTTCTTATATCCTCTTCACTGATCTTATGGATTTGCTCTATTTCCTGTGACATAAATAAGGTCCTCCAATTTGTTGTATGTCCAATATCATGTTACTTTATTATTAATAATAAGCGATTTACACAATTTATAAATTGACTGAGGCTATTGTAAATCACATAAAGTTACTAGATCACTTTATGTTAATTTGAATAACATTGAAAGGAGATGATGTGATTTATCGATTCATTTGTTCACATTCGTTCGTTCATGATAAACAACTTGAAGTTTGCGTGCCTATCGTAACGAAAGCTGCAGATGTTTATGATGATCAACGAACATCTTCCGACATAAAGTATTATTTTTGCTCGAAACTCCATTGTAATCCACAATTCTGATATGTTTCAGTTTCAATCTCGAGGTGTCTTTATTACAATATAGTCAATGAATTGGTTTGGTTCTTCTTTGTAAATTATATTTCATATAATCACAATCACTTATTTTCTTAGCACTCTCTCTCATTCTTTTGATTACAGCGTAAGCGAACTCATTACAGTTAATGCTGACTACTTAGTTTCCAGTATAACTCTAGATTTACATCGCGTTAACTTATTGACTATGACAAATTCATCAAATGGTAGCAATACAATTTCTCTGTCGAGTGAAGTTGAACAAAGCTTATTATCAGCTTGTAATGCTACAAACACTTTGTTTGAATACTGCACAATCAATGTACTGCCAGTTTTAAAACCGATGGTTACAAAAGTAATTTGGTTATATTAGGCTTTTTTATTTTCTTACCGTTATATTATAAATTTGTTTTAATATTTTTATAATAGAATTTCTTAGTGCTTCGTCAAACTGTTAGTTAACAGTTTACTCACTTAGCCCACATTTTCTAGCTTACAGTTCTCGATATTTCCCCACCTACACTGTCGATAATTCAAAAGTATCTATGTACCAAAAAAGTAGTTTTTTTCAGTCTTGTATACAAATTGAGAAGCAGATGTAAGTTAAGACCATAATTCTGTTCTATTTTACAGCAACAGTTGATGAGTTTGAAAAATATGTAGGATTCATTTGTTTCTTGTTTAATCGTTACGTTTAAAGTATTTCCCGTTGATTATAACTCAAACGACTGGATAAACAGTGTTAAATTTGTTCAGAAAGTATCAGCTGATGTGCTAGCCAGCTATTAATTAAATTTACAAAACCATGTATTTTTTCGAGCTGTGGCTCAGTTGTTACGCTATTCAACTTCCGGCCTCTAATTCTCAGGTTTGAATGCCACTCCGATGACTGGTTTTGGTAACCGACTTTTCTCTTTAGCCATCACACTTAAAATGTGACTTAAAGCCAAATAGACGAATCTACACTTGGTAAATGAACTTTAAAAGTATACTGCAATGCTTATGTTTTGAATTTCAGTCTCACGCAGATCGAAGTGTTCTAATATATACATAATATTACATTCTGTGTAACCGTTAGAGTTGATTACGGAATAAAAAATATACTCAAATTAGGAAATAGTGATAAAACTTGAGTTTTTATAGAATAGATGGGATATGGTTGGCAGTAGAATTCAGGACGCTTGTTTCATCTTATTTAAGACTGACCAACTAGATGTACCTGGATCTCAGATTTGATCTTCACTCCAAGATCGAAACTGAATTCACTTCTATTCAAACGCCCAACGCGTTATCCTATTAGCTACAGAGTTCACATAGCCACTCATTTGAACAACAATTCTGAATTTTAATTTAATTTGTAATTTATCCACATTCCATCTATTCTACAAAAACTTGTGACATAATGACAAAATACATATATATCAGTCAAATATACCAACAGCGGAATAATCCAAAAAAATCATTACAGATGGAATAAAACTTGATTTTTTTTCTCGTTCAGCTTCAGCATTACTTACATTCATTTTAAAAGTAGATCAACTTATTTAAATAATTTTTTTTTAATTCTTATTTTTGAAGGTGTTGTATTACTTTGAACTGATTGATTTAATCACAAGGTTTTCATTAGGTATCCAAATAATATCATGAGTACATACTTCAAACATAAGTGATCTATCAAACTTGGAAGTTATCATCAAAGTACTAAGTAGAGGAAGCACAATGAAAGTTATTTATTTTTCACAATAAGAAAAAGTAATACTATACTGTCAAAGATCGAATCATAGATGAAAGCAACCGAAATAAATATTCAAATAATGGTTCGAAAATTATAAATAATAACAAACCTAATTACAAGTTAGTAGGATAAGCAGTTATTCACTTGTGAAGAAATTCTAATTCTTCACTTCTTTTTCTAGTAAATCCTGATGATATTATGTAGAAAGGTAATGAATGCTTTTAAAATTAAACCATTTAGCTCCATGAACACAATAGCTGCCATTTTTAAAGCTGTACTGTCGTAATTATATACTTTGTTTTTCAAGATGATACTGATTACAATAGTGATAATAAAGTCCTGTTAAACATGGTAACAATGAGGTAGAATAAACAAAGGTATTAAAACATTATTTTTATCAGGGAAAATAATGAGTCTCATTGTTAAGGGCTTGAATATTCATCATGAAGATAGATTTTTAAAAAAAAGATCATCGTATCAACTTTGCGAATAGCAGATAATAATCATAAGGATAAATTATCTCATTTGACCAACTCTGCTCATTGATCAATTTACCTGTTTATGCAGAGCTAGGTATATAGGTCGTTCGATGCGTATTTTATCCAAAAGAACTCAAATACATCACCCGGCTCGGCTAAAAAGAGGAGATAAGGGCTCAATAATCGAAAACTTTGTGAACACAAGTCACTCAATCAAAGCGGACTGTGCTTTTAAAGTCATCCGCAAGGTAAGAGAAGGTTTAGTAGCTGTGCTTTGTTAACCAACCACCCTCGTAACCGTTATAATCTAATCCTCAACAGTGTTTGATATCAGAAGGCAAAGAGAAGCAGTGACTACAGTTTTATTAGCAGATAACTCAGACCAAAAGCAGAGAGGCGAATGAGTGAGTCAGCGAACCGAGAGTGTAGTGCTAAATGTACATGTGTATATATAGGGAAATGAATGGATCATCGAATCGATTAAGCAGCTAATAATAAAGCTAGCAGAATGAATTTATGAGTAGGTGGTAAACAATGTTCAAGCATACATATTTCATTCAAGCACAATAATAAAGGTACAATAAGTTGTTATAGTACAGATGACTTTGTCCACTAAATAAGTCAACAAAAAAGCTTAACCGAATTAAATGAGAACAAACTCATTTGCACGTGAGTTGCTATAATGGTTGCCGAATGTAGTTATATCCCACCATCTTAGCATTGCCGAAGCATTAACTATACGTTTGGAAAAAACCAGAATTATGTGTCAAAAAACTACAACTCTTCTATCATGGTCTTAATGTCTCAGGATTTTTCTTTCATACTTTCTTTCCTTCATAGCCATCTTCATCCCCTTCTATCCTCTCTATAGACGTTTTACCCCCCAACTCGTTCATTTCTGTTTCTATAATCCTTTTGATTACATTTCATTTCAATCTCAACATTTTATTTTATCGTGCTGAGCCTTCCTTTCCCAATTATAATTTCACTATTTCTATGATGAATATTCAAGCCCTTAACAATGAGACTCATTATTTTCCCTAATAAAAGTAATGTTTTAATACCTTTGTTTATTCTACCTCATTGTTACCATGTTTAACAGGACTTTATTATCACTTATTGTAATTAGTATCATCTTGAAAAATAAGTATATAATTACAATTGTACAACTTTGAAAATTAATTCGCCGAATAAAGAACTTCGCTGAACCAATCTTTCTTTGTATCTTTATGTGTATATTTCATTTACCTTCCAAATCCTCAACTTGATCTACAAATACTCTTCATCAAACGTTTTTTAGTCTCCCTTTTTATAAACCTTGCATAGTTGTCATGTTTAAATGAATTATTGTTTTCTTTCCTACTAGATGCTTTCATCATTAGATGTTACCTATGAATATACAACGGAACTTTTCCTTACACCATTTTATCAATTAATGCAAACATGTCGTAAATGGAATGAATTATTGACGAGAAACAACAAATGTTCAGACCAAGCAACTGATTCATCTCCAGTGGTTGAATCAGTAACTAATCAACAAAAAACGGTAAATGTTTATATAATCTTCATTCAGCATACAAATTTTCTCATAGATACATTTAACTAAAGCAAAAACAACAAACGTAGGAGAATTATATAAATTTTTTATCAGCATAGTGTTTTGTGGAAATTGTAGAATTGTCATAGTTTTAAATCACAAATTAATCTTAGTTAAAATATCATTAAAAACAAAGAAGCACTAGTCATCTGTTTTATCCTAGTGTGGGACTCTTCAGGAGTGCGCGTCCACCACTCCTCTATAGGGAATCGAAATCAAGGCCTTTTATCTTTTATGTGAAAGCTTGACTTGTTGATTGCTAAGCCGGTTTCCAACAGTCGTAAAGTCCAACTTCAATGAATTCACGGTATTAGTCGACGGGTCTGCCATTATCTGCCGTTAATAACTGTCTGACATCCGACATGATCGAACTTCACTGGTCACGGTTTCATGGTAAAACCCCAAGTATAGTATCATGAAGCTATTCGTTAATGAAGGGACGCACGTGTTCGATTCACTGTGAAAGGGTCATGGATCTGTCCCTCTGAAGAATCCCATACTGAAACGAAACATCGGTCCATTGAGTCCTGGTTTTCAATGATGGTCCATCTAAGATCAACTTGCGATTTAAAGCTGTGGTAATACAAATCTATTTATTTCATGATTTCTCTTCAGCTGCTTACAACCTAGAAACGATAATAAATATTATTTACAACCAATATGCATACTTTGCATTATATTCATAAAAATGTATCAACATCAAGTATGGGAAAATTGTAAAATGCTATAATAGATGAGTATTTTTCTGTTATCATATGTAGGAATTCGTGAAGAAAAATTTCAAAACACATGGAGAAGTGTTTCTAGAAGGTGAAAAAATAATCAAAATTGATATTAAAGTTGCGTAACACGAAGCATAAAATTAGCTAAATTGACTTAGTGAAATTAGTAAAGCTCAGAAAATGAATGATACAATAATAAAGAAAACGCATTAACAAGTTCGGTTTCAACTTTTTGTAATAGCAATTACTTACTTACTTACTTACTTACGCCTGTTACTCCCAATGGAGCATAGGCCGCCGACCAGCATTCTCCAACCCACTCTGTCCTGGGCCTTCTTTTCAAGTTCCATCCAATTCTTGTTCATTTTTCTCATATCTATCTCCATTTCTCGGCGTAGTGTGTTCCTTGGTCTTCCTCTCCTCCTTCGGCCTTGAGGATTCCATGTGAGGGCTTGTCTTGTGACGCAGTTCGGTGCTTTCCTCAATGTGTGTCCTATCCACTTCCAGCGCTTCTTCCTGATTTCTTCCTCCACTGGGATCTGATTTGTTCTCTCCCACAGTAGGTTGTTGCTAATAGTGTCCGGCCAACGGATCCGAAGTATTTTGCGTAGACAACTGTTAATAAACACCTGTATCTTTTGGACGATGGATTTCGTAGTTTTCCAGGTTTCCGCCCCATACAGTAGAACTGTCTTGACATTTGTATTGAAAATTCTGACTTTGGTGTTGGTTGCTAATTGTTTTGAGTCCCAGATATTCTTCAGTTGTAGATATGCTGCTCTTGCTTTGCCAATCCGTGCCTTCACATCTGCATCAGATCCACCGTGTTCATCGATGATACTGCCCAAATATGTAAAGGTTTTTACATCTTCCAAAGCTTCTCCGTCAATTGTGATTGGATTGGTACATGCTGTGTTGTATCGAAGAATCTTGCTTTTCCCTTTGTGTATATTGAGACCTATTGCTGCTGAGGCTGCAGCTACACTGGTTGTCTTCTCCTGCATTTGTTGTTGTGTGTGCGATAGAAGAGCCAGATCATCTGCGAAGTCTAGATCATCCAACTGCATCCTAGCTATCCACTGTATCCCGTGCTTTCCTTCAGATGTTGATGTCTTCATGATCCAGTCGATCACCAGGAGAAAGAGAAAGGGTGAGAGTAAGCAACCTTGCCTGACACCGGTCTTTACTTCGAACGACTTTGTCAACTGTCCTCCATGAACGATCTTGCAGTTTAATCCATCATAGGAATTCTGTATGATATTGACTATCTTCTGAGGCACGCCGTAGTGTCGAAGAAGCTTCCATAGGGTTGTTCTGTCCACGCTATCAAATGCTTTTTCGTAGTCGATGAAGTTGATATAGAGTGATGAATTCCATTCAATTGATTGTTCCACAATGATCCGTAGAGTTGCGATTTGGTCTGTGCACGATCTATCCTTACGGAATCCTGCCTGTTGGTCTCGAAGTTGGGCGTCTACGGAGTCCTTCATCCTGTTTAACAATACCCTGTTGAAGACTTTTCCCGGTATTGAAAGAAGAGTGATTCCCCTGTAGTTGTCACAGTTGCTGAGATCGCCTTTCTTTGGTATTTTGACTAGAAGTCCTTCTTTCCAGTCTTTTGGTACCTGTTCCTCATCCCATATCTTTTTGAAGAGAGTTTGGAGTATCCTTGCAGTTGCCGCTACGTCTGCTTTCAGTGCCTCTGCTGGAATGCTGTCTAGTCCTGCTGCTTTGCCACTCTTGATTTGTCTGATAGCCATGCTGATTTCTTCAATTGTCGGTGCGCCAACATCAATCGGGAGGTCCGTGAGTGCTGCTTCGATGTTGGGTGGGTTCAGTGGGGCTGGTCGATTCAAGAGTTCTTTGAAGTGTTCTACCCACCTGTTTCGTTGTTCTTCAATGTTGGTGATTATCTTGCCTTCCTTACTTTTCACTGGTCGTTCTGGTTTACGGTGATTTCCAGAGAGTTTCTTTGTTGTTTCATACAGTTGTCTCATGTTTCCTTCTCTGGCAGCCTTTTCCGCCGTCATTGCCAAATCTTCCACATATTTACGTTTGTCGGTTCTGATGCTCCTTTTCACTTGCTTGTTTACTTCTGTGTATTCAGCCTGTGCCTTGACTTTTTCTGCTCTTGTTCGACTGGTATTGATTGCTGCTTTCTTGTTCCTCCTTTCTTGAATCTTATCCAGTGTATCGACCGTGATCCAATCCTTGTGATGGTGCTTCTTTTGGCCCAGAACCTCATGACATGTTGAAGTGATTGCCTCTTTTATCTCTTTCCAGTTGCTCTCCATAGTGGTTCCTTCTCCATTGAGTAGATCATGAAAGGCTTGGAACTTATTGCTGAGGGTTATCTTGAATTTATTGAGTTTGTCATTATCCCGAAGAAGAGCCGTATTAAATTTTTGTGATATTGTCCTCCCCGTTGTCCAGTGCCTCTTGAGTTTCAATTTCATCTTGGCGACCAGCAAGTGATGATCTGATGCTATATCAGCTCCTCTCTTTGTTCTCACGTCCTCCATCGTCCTCCTGAACTTTTTGTTGATGCAGATATGGTCGATTTGGTTCTGTGTGCTGTGATCCGGTGAAGTCCATGTGGTTTTGTGTATGCGTTTATGTGGGAATATAGTCCCGCCTATGACCAGTTTATTGAAGGCACATAGATTTGCAAATCTCTCACCATTTTCGTTCCTTTCTCCCAGTCCGTGTCGTCCCATGATCTCTTCATATCCGGTGTTGTCGATTCCAACCTTGGCATTTAGGTCTCCCATCAGAATAGTCAGGTCTTTTGTTGGGCACTTCTCGACGATTGACTGCAGCCTATCGTAGAATTGATCTTTAGCGTCTTCATTGTAGTCATTGGTAGGCGCGTAGCATTGGATGACATTCATTGTAATCCCCGTTTTCTTTGTTTTGAAGGAGGCTTTGATGATCCTTGGTCCATGAGATTCCCATCCTATAAGTGCATTTTGTGCTTGTTTGGACAGCATCAATGCAACTCCTTGTGTATGTGGAGCATTTTCTTGTTCATGTCCGGAGTATAACAGCAGCTCCCCTGAAGCCAATCGTTGTTGTCCAACTTGCGTCCAATGTGTTTCACTGATCCCAAGCACCTCTAAATTGTATCTCCTCATTTCTGCAGCAATTTGGAAAACTCTCCCAGTCTCCCACATTGTGCGAGCATTCCATGTACCTAAATAAATGGTTGCTCTGGTTGTCAGAAGGGGCATCGGCCTCGTGACTTCCGAAGAAACTCGGCTTTCATCATGAGGCGTCATAATTCTTCTAAACGAAGACCTCCTGACTCCCAGGGCAGAGTTTAAATGGTTTGAATAATTTTTTCTGGTTAGCGTTTTTTAGCGAGTTAGTTTTCTACGGGATGGGGTCGCTAACCCCATGCCCAACCCTCCTCCTTTATCCGGGCTTGGGACCGGCAGTAGCCCCCGGAAAGGGACTCCAGGCGGAGTTTTGTAATAGCAATGCCATTGGTGAAACATAATCATTTCGAAGTCATTTGAGTATTGTTTATTTTCAACGGTTTTAAAATATCAAAATTATGTTTACCAAGATAACAGATGACAAACAGTTACACTGCTGTAAACACGTTGACTTCTTAATCTCATATTATTGTGCTGCGTTTGTTGTTTTTCCTTGGTCGATTATCTTTTCGTTAATTATTACATTACATTATTACCATAAATATTATACTCTCTAGAATTACTTTAGAATATATATATATTATTCTGAGTTACACATTACATAAAAATTTACTTTCTTAGACGAATTACTCAGGATGTAGCAAATCACGTCTCACTGATTTATGTCAAAAAACAATCAGTCTTGTATCTGAGACACGTTCACTTCATCATATTGAACCGATTAATCAAACGAATGGAGCCAATTATACTGATACCTTAAATCAACCAGAGAAAAATAAGATGGATCCTATGAATGATGATATGGATAACGATGAAAATCATACGTTTCCCGATCATTTACAAATAGTTGAAGAAGTAAGTTAATGTTGTTTTATATGGGCTGTAATAAATTGTATTTCTTTCTAGTTCATAAACGGAATACACCCATTGAAACATTAAATAAGAAAGATTAGTTCAGTGAAGAGTTCTCTTTTCGGCGAATTCATTTTCAAAGCTGTGCAAAGCAGTACTATTATCATCCTGTAAAAAATAAGTATATATATTTGCGATTGTACAGCTTTGAAAATGAATTCGCCGAAAAGAGAACTCTTTGCTGAACTAATCTTTCTAGTTCAGTTTACTCTATTTTTTTAAATGATAAAAATCAATCAGTTGATTATTCATGATCCATTTGGCAAAATTTTCAAGACACTAAACTGCTGTTCGATTTGGGTTTTGTACTAATAAATAAGACCTTCCTATCCCTCTGGCAGTAAGTAAGTAACTATTCATTCAATAACTGGTAACTGACTAACTAGCCACGAATTTTACTCATAAATTTTAATCGTCTTAGTTTGGAGCTCCTCAGTGGTGTGCATCCACAACCACTTCATATAGAATAAAACCTAGAAATGTTGGTCTGGCGTATGAACGCTTGAACTCCATACCAAAAAGTTCATCACCCAGCGATATTAATGTATGACTTCGATCAGTTCACGATATTTCATGATCATATTCTATCACTGTCGATGGATAATTGAAAGTTGAACAATCTTCACAAACCCGTCCTACCGATAAAAGTATAGTTTAGTTTTTATACGTAAGTAATTTAACATAAAAGATTACTAATATTAACCTAGTAACGAAAAATGTATCAGACAAATAATCTCAAAATTAATCTTCTTTATCACTTAAGTTTAAATTCCATCTTCTTTAGATTCGAAAATGTAATAAATACTTCCAGGACTTCATATATATGCTGTCTAAGATATATACTTATTTATACAATCGACATATTCATTGCATGTATACATGGTTGTTTAAGTCTAATACTGGTATCCAAATACATACAACTTATTAGTCCCAGATAGAATGAAACATGCTTCTTTGATTTCATTGATAACCGCTTTCTAAAATATCGAGACCTGTGTTCAAGGAGTTTGTTTTTTGGTAGCTTCTAATTGTTGTATTGAACTGTCATCCAATTCTGCTTCTGGTATATAAGTTTCATATATACGAACCTAACTTATTACTTGAATAAGAAAACTAAGGATTAGTAAGGAGCTTTTCCTGGTTAATCGTAGTGGAATTCTGTATATAAATTCATCCATAAATATATATCTATCTCGTTAAGAAAATCAAGCCAGTAGCATATAAATATGTCTTCCCACAGATTGTCAATCCAAATCTTTTCCAATAACGTACACTCGTCAACAGCCCGCGCTTATTATTTAGCTTTAAATTAACATGTCGGATAAGTACAACATATCATCTTTCCTTCCTGAAACATAAACTTTGCTTTTTGAATTTAACTTCAGGAGTCGAGGTGGATTATTACTTTATTTTATTTTTATTTAAACACAGATATTGGTACAAGGAGGCACCAAATACATATGCGCCACAAAAATCTCATTTGATATGTGTGAGGGTTGTGATACTTCCCGGGTGCCCAGACCGAAACAGGTGATTTCCTTAGGGGGCCACAACCCGAGCCTTCGACCTGAAGATCTGGTCCACAAGGGAGTGGAGCATCGTAAGGAAATGCAATCCCATGGTAGCCGGTGACCAATGATTGCTTCATATGCCATTTGTTCCTTCAGGATCCTGGAACCTATGTGCACCATTGGTTTGGGATCCGGTTAAAGCGCCGGACACTCGCTTTTCGTCCTCTCATTTTCGTAAACAACACCCCGCCACGTGAAGGCAGTGAGTAGGACTTCCTTGACAGAGTCTATATACGCGTGGCCATGTGAGAGCATTTCGAGAGGGAGAGCGGACTCTCCCCACTCTCGGCCGTACCAGGGCATTTGGGGACCGAGGTGGATAGGGCTGAAATAAATCACCACTTCAATTCAATTATGAGTATTAGCGGGAAATTACAAACTATTAAAATTGTTTATTACTATAATTTTATCAGAAGGGGGTTTTGTGGGTATTATAGTAATTTCAATAGTTGAGATTATAAGTGAATTGAAGCTAGACCACCATGGAAAACCTGGATGTGTCGCTGAATTTCGTGGATTATTTAAAGTTAAACACTAACACCGTTGGATGCCGGCTCGATGGTCTAAATGTTAAGTGTTTGTGCGTGAGACTGGTAGATCGTGGGTTCGAATCTTGCGAGGCGGGATCGTGGATGTGCAATGCTAAGAAGTCCTATACTATGATGTAATGGCTATCCAGTGCTTCCAGGTTTTCCATGGTGATCTAGCTTCAATTGACTCATGATCTGAACTATTGAAATTACTGTAATTTTTTTAATTGTTCCCAGATTTCCATTTTTACTATAATTTCTTGTAATTTGATTCTGTTTTCTTCAGTTTATCAATTTGTACATAATTATCTATGTGCTCCTTACAGATTAATCATGTGTTATTGTTTCAAATTAAAATGTTCTTTCTTTCAATTCTTCACATAATTTCAGGTCATGTTACGATGTGTACATTTAATGGCTGATGGAAATCCTAAATTACGTATACTTTCTATGAATGTTTTAAAAGAAGGTTGTTTGACGTTACAAAATGAAACCAGTGAGAGAATAGTTATATTAAAGTTTTAACTCTTATGAATTAAATTGTTAATAACTTGTAGTAAGAAATCTTCTTATTTAAATGTTGTAAATTTACTTTTATTATTATTATTATTATTATTATTATTATTATTATTATTATTATTATTATTGGCTTTATTCAATATTATATTTTTGGTACAATATAGAATTCTCAGCACAAAGTATTTCAACAAGTTTCCCTTTCTTATTTCTTGATCGACCCTGACGATCAATATGGAGTGATCGCCAGTTAAATGTTAGCAGTTGAGGAATGGACATCTGAATAATGTTCATTATTTTCAGTGTATATTGTCAGCCACCACGATGCCTCTGAATGTACGTTTTTGTAACCTGTACAGCGAAAGGTCGTAAACTTTTCATAAACGTGCCTGAATAGGTTATACGTTTAATAGACATAATTATGTGTTTAAACAAATGGAAGCAGATAACTTGTTGAAATATCTAAATTGGAGGAGCAGGCAGTCAACAACAATGTTAATAATTAATATTTGTCATTTAATTTATTACAATATTATTCATCTATGTTGAAAATGAACAGTTAACTCTACTACAAACTAACCTAAAAATATTTTGGAACACTGTGTTTTTGTTTGCAGAGAATACAGAGATATAATTTTTGGTTGCGTTTGGGTCTCATTAGCTAAATGTATTAAGATATTAGTGTTCAGATCTGAATGTCAATAAGAAGATAACTAAAGCCTTTACTACTACTACTACTACTACTACTACTACTACTAATAATAATAATAATAATAATAATAATAATAATAATAATAATAATAATAATAATAATAACGCAATAGTATATTATAAATTTTACATTTGTTCATTGCTGTTTAATTCACTATACTTCCTAACGGTATCATAAAGCATAATGTCAAATGTGTTAAATCAATAAGTTCTGTCATATTTTTCAAAACGTGCTTATTATTTGTTGTGATTACTGTTACAGAATAATCTCAGGTGTCATACATTTCAGATATTGTTCATTTTGTTGAATTCATGATTTATTGAGATTGTTTGATCTTGAATGATTAATTTTAATGATTTTGTTAACATTTTTGTTCCTTTACCTACATTAATGTTTTAATTAAATTGGTAGAGTGTAACACATCTAGCGAAGATTACTGTATTATAATCAGACTGATGAACAATACTAATGGTAAAAGTTACTATATAAAATTATATAGATTCCATAGAATGTATGAATAAAACGACATTGTTAAAGGTTTAGGCTTGAACTCAGTAACTCAAATGTTAATAGTCAAAATTATTTCAATAATTGGTGGTATAATAATAATCCTAATAAATATGTTCTTTAAAACAATTAGTCCCTTTGATAAATCTTGATAATGTAACGAGAAGACGAATGTTTTCAGAATTATGTAAGATGATTTGTGCAATACATTTCGAATAATCTTATCACACATAAACTTGTTAAGACATTTTTATATGAAGACTAAAAAGGTCAACTAGACAGGTTCAAGGTACGGATTACCTTTAATCTGTCTAGTTTGACCTTTTTAGTTTAAATATGTTCTTACTATTCCAATAATTAATTCAAATATGAGTTAATATACTCAACTCTGTTGCACGAACTAACGGCTAATTGTACTATTCAACTGTATAAAATGAATTCCAATTTGTAATAACATATCAGGCTGAAATTCCAATGATTTAATCCACTTAGTCAATATTATACATTGTTATTACTATGAAGCAGTATTTTTTATTCTTTATATATCATGTTATACATTTTTTTGATATTTTATTAAAATTTTAGATTTATTATTACCGATTGTTCACAAAATATGGACTTCATTAATGAAACGATTTCATGATAATCACGCTATAGTTGTTGAAAAAGTAAGTTTTTCTAACCAATTGTAACCAAAATGATTCTTTTTTCTTTATATATTTTCATTTTCATTAATATGAATCTCCATCACATTGGCTTAGTATGATAGTACCTGAGATCAAACGAATAAATACATACCCTTCACCATAATTCGGCTTGATTTTCTAGGGATTTACAAGCTATTGGTTGAAAAAATGATCTTATCATCTAGGAGAAAAAAATGTATATTCGTGAATAAGTGTACACATTCTATAATAGGTTTTAGTCAATAAAGTTTCTTTTTCATTCTCGATCTTCTCATTCAAGTAATTGATTTGAACTTGCACATGGTAGTTTTTTTATCAGTATCATAATTAGACATCGCACTAACATAACAAAGCACAATTTAACTGTTAAATATATTGTTTTGATTAGTCGTCAATTCTCGAACCATTGTGTTAAGCTAGATTGATGAAGAAGTAAATTTCTACCATAGGTCAGTAACTTTTATTCGTAACAATTATGGAATCCTACCACTCTGTGTACTGTACATTACTATAGCTGTTTTCCTTTTAACCCAATAATGGTACAGACCAGATTATAAAGCTAATTTTGTTTACTATCTAATTGATCACTTAATTTCTTCAATTTGTGGTAATTGTGATATGTAAACAATTCAAAAAAAAAGAAAATATTCAATGGACTGTTTATTTGTATGTACGTCAACGGTTTATTGAAATTTCATGATTGATGCTAATTGAATCCCTAAAATCACCACAGAAAGTATAAAAGAAGTTAAACATGTATGAAATATACATTTGTTGATTTAGTCCAATCCTTTATTTATAATGTCTTAGTGAACATTTGTAATTATTTTCAGGGTCGTCTCCAACGGAGATTGGTAGTAATCAACGCTTGTTAATTATATTTATTAACAGTTTATTTATCGGACTCAACTGTCTCAACATTTTTACATGTTGCAAATTATATCTAGATTTTTAGATTTTTTCTTTAATAAAAACGATTAAATGACACTGTTAAAACCACCACATTTCGTCAAAATGTTCGTCTTGGACAATTTATTAGTGTCTTCAGCTCCGTTCATGATAAATGTAGGTAAATGTTTCAAACATAAATGAGTTTACGACTACTTGTACGGTTGCATTAAATCTGCTAAAAGATAACTCCATATACCATCAAGTGTAATGCTTCTTACTTTAGGATTAAATGGTCACTCGTTGAAAATGTGGTATTTCAAAATAGAAAAAATTACAGTCTGTAAGGACTCATAGTTCCCAGCGTAAACGATATAGTTATCCTTTGAAATTTAAAATTCATATTTTTCCATCGCACTTTATCTGCATCTTTTATTATAGGCGTTCGACCTCTTGACTGTACTGTCTAAAGTTGCTGGAAACTTTATTCGACAGCGTTCATCTTCAGAGATAATTCCTCCTTTGGTGTTATTTTTAACACGTGGTGCTACTGTAAGGTTAGTAGCCCTGTCCTTATCATTGAACTCGTTAATCTGAATCTTCACAATACAACTGCTAATTAAATGCAAATTATAAATGATAATTTTTTATTTCTTAAAAATATACTTGGTTAACCAGTGGTTCTGTTTGGTCAAACCTATTAGACCGGAATTCATGTATACATTCTGTTAGAAAATTATCTATTCCATATAATGATCATTTTGTTAGCATTTATTGTAGTGTTCTATGATACAACTTTTACACCATTATATTCTCCAAAATATACTGACTTCTTCCCTTACGAATGTCTACATGTTGAGTTTCCACTTCAGATGGCTTTTTTCTCTGCTTGTTTTATAGTGCGTCAGCATCAAAATCATACAAATACCTTACATCTTATCGTGTACAGAAAAGGTTACTAAAAGAGATCGGACCTCTTTGTATACAAGTTAGCTCCTCCTTTTTATCCATGAATCATATTTAATTTTATTTAGATGGGATTATTATCACAATCACTAAGACCTGTGATCAATGTACTTGTCATGTATTTAGATAATTCACAACCGGAAGGACTACAACAGGTAAGATGTATTTTTTATTTCAGTGTCGTCTTGTCAATATGCTTCTACGTTTATCGACAGATCGGTGTATAACTCAACTGTGCTCTTATTTTCATTTATTGAGCTTACAAAATAGCTGATACAATCATTCTAAATGACACATTGATCATGATTAATTTAGAAAAAAACAGTGAAATAACACTAAATAAATGTATAAAATTTATAATCTAAGCGGATGATTTTTATGTTATGTCTTCTAGACCGAGTAGTTCAATCCTTCCGGTTTGATTAGTGAGATGAACATCACCATAAGTACCTCCTTTACACATAACTCACAAATAACCATTCTATTTGTCAATTTATTTGCAGAAAATGTGACTAGATTTCTATTAAACTGTCATACCTTCCTCATTTACTACGAAGATATCAGTCGGTAGTTGGTTAACTGTACTAGAAAACACATCAATTTTTCAGGTCAAATGAAATATATACCAATCTTAAGAATTGTTTAACTGTTATTACGAATCATTGACAAAATTTTACCGAATATCATCATCATAATCATCCGTAGTCATTCTTCATTCCGTGAAATGTATAAGCCAGTATATCGTATTGTAAACTCCCTCTACTACTGATTTCATTGTGCTGTACACTGGATTTCACACTGTGTTAATGAACGATTTTCTGTCTCGATGATCTAGCTCTCAGTTGTCAGTCGGACGTTGTGTGTGTACTATGGGGTTATCTAGTATTTTAATCTGGTGTATCCGATAGTAGTATTCAGTTGAATGTCATCATATTTCATAACAAAGGTTATATCTGTTAGTATTTTCCTCATTACGACATTACTTTTGATCATTCTTTTGAACAAATGAAAAAAAAGGTTACATGTTTTCAGGCGATGTCACCCATGTTTCTCAGTTGTTTACTATTGTGTCTCTCGTGAGATTTAAAATGTACCTAAATATGTGAATAACTAGTAATTCTCTCTTTCTCAATTTATAAACTATCCAGTCTACAACCAATTCAATCCACTGTCAAGTAAGGTTTTCCAACAGAATACTGGTTATGCTTTTCGAATCATTATGTGTTTTGAATATAGACTTCGCTTTAAATTAACATCAGTTGAGAAACTAGACAACGGTTTTCGAACGTCTCAAAGCAATATCCACCTACAAACCTATATAGTATTATGTTAAGAACCTTCAAATTTTGTGGTGATCATTTTACTTCATTTATCGCTTAGTTAAAATATAGCGATCCACAGTTTCAATTCACAATATGTTGTAACGTTCATTGAAACAACGCACTCATTTTCGAGTCAAGTCAGATGACGATCTTGAATTCTCGGTATATTTATATATGAATACTTAGAAATAAATGGTAATCGGGTTAAGTTAAAGTTCACATTCAAGATGATAAAATTATTTTATTTTATTATTTATTTAAACACATAAACATTGGTTCAATGGGGCACCAAATATATATGCGCCACATAGAGCATTCTGTTTGTGTGAGGGCTGGGATTTATTTTTATTTATTTTAACACATAGGTATAGGTACAAGGAGGCACCAAGTACATATGCGCCACACGAATCTCAATTGATTTGTGTGAGGGCTGTGATACTGCCCGGGTGCCCAAACCGAAGCAGGTGGTTTTCTTAGGGGGCCACACCCCGAGCCTTCGACCTGAACGTCTAACCCACAAGGCAGTGGAGCATCGTGAGGAGATGCAGTCCTATGGTGCCGGTGACCAACGCCATTCGTTCCCTCAGGATATTGGAGCCCATGTGCATCATTGGTTTGGAATTAGGGTTTCCCAACTCCCCTAGGTGGACCGTCCGTGTCCACCAACACGGTTACGGATCCAGAATTTCGCTTTTCGTCCTCTTAATTTCGTGAAGAAAAGGAATGCCGCGAAAAGGCTGTGGGTAGGACTTCCCTGACAGTGGTTGTATGCACGTGGCCATTTGAGAGCATTTCGGGGGGGGGAGCAGACACTCCCCAGTCTCAGTCGTACCAGGAAACTTGAGGGCAAAATTATTTTATTTTTATTATTATTATTATTATTAAAATTAGTCGTATTAGTTAACTATTAGTACTGACGAATACAAAAAGTGACCCATTCAGGATGTTCTGATAAGTAAAATATGCATCAACCGATAAAACAATAACTAGTTCACAGATTAATCAATGAACCGAAAAATAGATATCTCAGTAAAATTATAGTTACTGATAAGTTGTGTAGTTATCATACACAAACCTCACATATAGTGCAACAATTACACCATGTCATCTCTGTTTATTATAAGGATCCATCTTGATGTTAGTTGCTAGTCAGCACTTCATTATAAAATTGGATGCATTTTGTTGACTCTAACTTCATGTTTTCAGCTGTAGTTACATGTTAACCCATTACATGTTTAACTAAGTTATTCAGGTCTCTTGATAACTTTTTTAAAAAAGAAAGACTACTTATAATATTTGGTCTACTATTATTTATTGTCATGTATTAATTCGAAGCATTGTTTACAGGTAGTGGGATCATCAGCTGAGTAATACTCAGTTTAGACGTAGAGTACTAGGTAGGAACAAGAAGTGAACTGATAAAACTATGGACCATCATTGACTGATATCATGAACTCACTTGCCTTTTGATCTGACCCATATTAGAAATTACAAACTTTACTACTCTAAGCTTTTACAATAGATTTTGAATAAAATGTGATGAAATTCTTTGCCATTGTACCTATTTTCTACCGTCTTAATTTTCAGTTAAGTATTATTTCCTACTTTATTTTTTAAAGTCTTGTTTGTTTATTTCAATTTTGTCTTAGATTTATAATTCCATTTTCATCTTCATTTACTTGTTATCTTTTTAAATTTCAAAAATCCATTATTAAGCCTATCTTTAAACATTTTAAGTACAATCATCTACTACTATTACTACAAAATGTCACTCGAGATCCAAATTTTTCAGTGGTAGCATCTCCGAGTCCAAATCCGACTGACTCGGGTCTGAATCTCACAGAGGACATTAGTTCCCTTAAGATTACAAGTGCGTCTGGCTGACAAGTGTCAAGTAGCATGTGATGGAGGTCCAGGATTTAATTTTAACTAACCCGAATCACTAAATATCTTAACAAAGTTCACTCAGTGTTGATTCACTTATATTAGCGGTCACATCACAACTTGGTTGATAGAATTCAATCATCATTTAAAGGATCAGACAAACACGATATCGGTCACTTCTCAATGATCAATTAATTGTCTTAGATTTTAATTTAAGTGAGATATTAGAATTCCATGTGACTGAAGCCATTAGTGTTTATTTTATAGCAGAGTTGTAATTCCGTAAAGTAAGGGAGCATTCAGGTTGGCAATGGCTTGCTCAAGTGCATATTTAAGTGATGTCGCATCATTAGTGCAATTATCTATTAGCAAATAATCTCGAACCATTCTGTGGTAGCAATTTGTGCAAGTAATAATTTATTGTTGTATATGTTGACATCAGTTAAAGAAAATTCAATCATCTTACTGCTCAGAATGAGTGATCTGTTATGATGGAGTTGCGTTTTGTAATCACTGACAGATTGAATGTTGAGGCTTTTATTGTCCTTCTAAACAATATAAGCGCAAACTCCGGATAGAATAACTCAAATAGCTCGCCTCTATCTGTTTATGTTAATGATATTGTTTTTGTGGACAATGAAAGTTTCACGTAGTGCTCACAAAATGCAACACCACTAAAATCATCATTCTAAGCTATAAATTTCGATCATCTCAAAACTGATTGATTACACAAAATTACTTCTTATTATAAAGTTGTTTTTTAACATTTTGCTTCAGTTATATAAGACTTTTATGTTTTTCTATACTTGTGTTATGTTTAAACAAATCTAATTTTACCATTTTCAAAGTAGTTAATTTTTTTACCCACTCATCTTTAAATAGGCTTCTATGTCCAGTATAGAAATTATATGGACTCTTGACCCTGGAAGTACATGGGCTCTTCTTATTAATCATCTTACTGATTCAGATATACAATGCATATATTCTCAGAGATTAGTTAAACCATTTGAAATTATACAAGTAAGTACAATCTTCACATTGATTTGTATGTACATCATGAAACATTGCTTTATAGAATGAGATTGATTGTGGGCAACGAAGGTATCCAGGACACATGTTTAATCTCATTTAAGACTCGTCAGCTAGATGTACCTATATGTCAGTGCTGATGTTCTTAATGGGACCCGAACTTAATATCTCTTTCTTGAAATGACAGTGCATTATCTAATGGGCTGCTAAGTCCAGATAACCACTAAGTTGTTCGACGAGTATATTCTGTGTGTGTGTGTGTGTGTGTCGTTAATAATAAGAGTTCGAATTATCCGATTGTTGCCATTTGAAACTGAGTTTTGCTCAGCATTTATTGGTATTTGTACGTTCTATGCAGACTACCTTGATACACAAACATTTTGTCACACGTTTTATAGAATAGGTTGATTGAGGCGGTCCAAACACTATTCACATATGATAACAAAGATTAATATAAAGTCAGTCCTCAAAATTAACAACGAGATAATTAAAAGCCGTACGAGTGATGATTTAATCATGCTTCGCCAAAACAACGGCCATGTTAAATAAATATTTTTATCACCATCACATTCAATTTATGGGTTATAATCGGTTATTATCTTGCAAGTCAGTTGGATTTGGAGCTTTTGACCATCAGATCTTACCTCAGTTGTTTACACGTGACGCGAGGCTCAAAAAATCTAGGTTCCACCTATGTTAGGGTCATAAGTGTCTACTTCTAGGAAAACCCTTCACTGCGGTAAACGAGATTTCTGGTGATCTGTAGTTTCCATTAGTTTACCACTTAATATCAACTGATAGCGATCCCTCTGAAGAAAATTTATTTTTATTTACTCAACTTATACTCAATTTGTAAAGTGCAAATGATGAATTGTGATAGGTTTAATTCTCAGTATGGTGTTACAAATGACCACTAATCAAACTCATTTTTAATCATGTTGATCAAGTAAACTACAGTCGTCAGAAAAATTCTAAATACCTAGGATATTTCATCGATTTCTCTGGGCCATTCGGCGCTACTATCTATCATAATAACAATTTTTCGTCAAGAGGAAGTTAGAACCTCTGTTTTCTAAACATATAGCTAGAAATCCCAAAGTTTTGTTTTTCTAAGTACTGAACATTTACTACTCCATTCATATCCTGATACTCGTCTACATTTATTTTGTAATAGTTTTTCTCTCTTCAAATCACAGACAATATATTCTCAGATAAATAAACTTTTATTGTCTTTTAGTCATCAAACCTGAGACTTTACATGTTACCCATTATCTCGACTGTCGGGATTACATAGAGCACAGTTGAAGTTTAATAATAAATGCTATTGTGTGACCTGGATTTATAAACATCAGTTTTCACGGAAATCAAAATTATGTTTTATGCTGTTGCAAATGCATAACACCTAGATTTGAATCTTATTTTGTATTGTATTCAATTGATTCAATCTCTTAAACGTCTTAACTCTACATTTTGACCTGTTATATACACATAATTGCTTCTAGTTTACTAAGTAATTAGAAATTTAGAACACATTTCTTTCTTCTATTGATATTCTAAAACAGCTATTCATTGGATTACTTTCGCGTCTGTGTAACCGACAGTAAAAATAAAGTGAATAATTTAAGAAATATAAAGGAGGAAACCAACTTACATTCCCTACTCTTATTACAAGTACAGTGGTGGCATGCTGATTACAGCTCTCACCGTATAACCTTTAGGTTACCCACTCTAACTTCATTCTTTCATTTTTAATTCGTTTACATGCTAGTGTAGGCGTAGTTTTTTTTAACAATAATGTACTTGGTAAATGAGTTTCTTTATTTAAGAAAAATACATTTCAGTAGGGTTTTTTGGATATTATAGTAATTTTAATAGTTGAGATCATCAGTCAATTAAAGCTAGACCACCATGGAAAACCTGGAATCACTGGATGGCCATCTCGTCCTATTGTGTGACTCTTCAGCAGTGTGCATCCACGATCCCGCCTCGCCCAAACATTTCAAATATATATATATATATATATATATATATATATATATATATATATATATATATATATATATATATATATTGCTTTATATAGCTTTTTGGTATATTTAATAATAAATTTAAACGTTCTTTATCACTTTCATAACAGGTTTATCATCATCCAATTGATAGACATAAAGATTTAAATTTGAAACTCCAGAATATATCTATTCTTTTAAACAAACTTCATGAAATCTCTGATGAAATTACTAAATGAACCAAGTTTTCTTTTTCTTTTATGTATATCCCATTATTTTTTTACCACAAAAGTAAACTTGTATCCCCCTTAAAGTTTATATCGAATGTGTAACTGTTGAATACCTCTTCAAACTTCTCTTTTTGTGTAAATATATTTTGTACAATCTATTTATAAAAATGAAGATATTTGTTGTTGTGTCCATATTAATACATTCGTTAAATATTATTGATCATTGAAAATAGTTCGTGGTAATTTTAAAGTTTGTTTTTGTTATATCTTGTTCCCTGTGTCCCTATCAATGTTTAACGTAATGATACCACCAATAAGAGAAGAGCGAATTATCGACCGGACCAATGTCGCATAAAACCCGTACAAGCAGTCTAGAGTCCTTATCCATTTTGCTTCCCGCCTAGCCTAGCCTGTTAAGTCCAGAACACCAATCTCAGCCTCCACGATATGAATAATGTGTTTCAAACATACTGGGTTTATATATCAACCAGATAGACCACATCGGACCATAAAATAGGAAACAACATTTGTACATGATTTAGCCAAATGTGGCTGTGAATAAGGGAGATAGTAATTGATAGACAGAACATGACTCGAGAATGGTAAATCACATAATAATAGTCCTACTCACTGCCTTCTCGTGGCGGGGGTGTTGTTTACGAAAATGAGAGGACGAAAAGCGAACGTCCGGCGCTATAACCGGATCCCAATTCTATGGTGCACATGGGCTCCAGTATCCTGCGGGAACAAATGGCGTATGAACCAACTTTTGGTCACCGGCTTCCATGGGACTGCATCTCCTCACGATGCTCCACTGCCTTGTGGACTAGACCTTTAGGTCAAAGGCTCGGGGTGTGGCCCCCTAAGAAAACCACCTGCTTCGGTTTGGGCACCAGGGCAGTATCTCAGCCCACACACCAAAACATGATGAAATATTCGCTTACGGAAAATATTCGTTCTTCTCTGACTAACATTGAAATGACTGATACTATTATTATTATTATTATTATTATTATTATTATTATTATTATTGTTATTATTATTATTATTATTATTATTATTATTATTATTATTATTATTATTATTATTTACTACGTCACTTACTCACTATCTCCTATTTCTACTTTTTGTATCCGTTTCGACTCAGACAGCAGCTCGCCTATGGTAAAAATTCAGCTTTATCTAAACGTTCTCGAGTCACTGCGTGGTTTGAAAATTGTATGTTACCATCGAATAAGAGTACTGAAGCAGTCTTTCTGAAACCACGCGCACCATTCAAACTGGCTGCCTTTAACGTTCGCACACTTATGCAGGTCGGACAACAGATAGGGCTGGCAATGTCTTTGGAAAGTCTTAATATTGATGTGTGTTGTCTATCCGAGACCCGTATTCAAGACTCTGGTGAAGTACTACAAATTCGCTCTCCATCTGTCGCTCCAAAAAGCTTGTTTTACGTGCGTTTATCCGGGGACCCTGTGGCATCTTCGTCTGGTCTTGCTGGCGTTGGTGTCGCACTAAGCGCAAGAGCTGAGGCGGCACTAGTCGACTGGATCCCCATTAACAGTCGGTTATGTGCTGTTAGATTAGAAAGTACCATCAGAGTGAGAAGAAATCGGCGTGAGAAACGATGTCTTTTCGTCATCTCCGCCTATGCCCCGACAGATTGCAGCCCGGATGCAATCAAGGATGAGTTCTACCACCAGTTATCTGTTCTTCTCCAGAAAGTGCGTTCGACAGATATTGTAGTACTAGCTGGAGACTTGAATGCTCAGGTCGGGCGTCTAGGCACAGAAGAGAGTCGTTTAGGTGGCCGATGGGGACTCGTTGGTCGCAGGACAGATAACGGGGAACGTCTACTGCAACTATGCACAGACCACAACCTGTTTCTGGCTAGCACTAACTTTCGGCACAGTCATCGCCGATGTGCCACCTGGCGTCCTCCCTCTGCATCTCAAGCCTGGACTCAGATTGATCACATCGCGATCAGCTACCGCTGGCGCGGTTGTGTACAAGACTGCCGCTCCTTTTGGAGTACCTATCTGGAATCTGATCATGCTCTGGTCTGCGCCAATCTTACCTTACTTTTCAGTGGACAACGAAGTGACCGCCACCACAGGATTGATGTTAGCAAGCTGGCTGCAACTTCTGTTGCTAGTAAGTACCGAGCCGAGCTAGCTTCTAGGCTAGCCACTATTCCACCGAAAAGTATAGATGAGCATTGGTTGCAATTGCATGACGCCATGAAAATGGCGGGTACAGTCAGCTGTGGGATTGCGAAACGTCCCGCTTACAAGCACTGGGTTTCTTCTGGTTCCTTACAACTGATTGAAGCCCGTCGGTCTACTCCGGGTGACCGTGAGTTTGACCACAGACGAAGGTTGTTACGTACTGAAATTGGGCAAAGCTTGCGTAAGGACCGAGAAACCTGGTGGTCGGAGCGTGCCAGTGAGTTGGAAGCAGCAGCTGCATCTGGTAATTACCGGAAGCTCTTCCAACTCATCCGAGCCACCGGCAGCAAGAAGTCTGGTGTGAGCGAAACAATCTGCGAGGATGACGGAACGCCAATCACTAACATCCATCGACGTCTTGGACGATGGGCAGAATTCTTTGAAGGGCAGTTCAACTGGCCTGCTGCTCCGGCAACATCGGTCAGACTGTCCTGCCCTCCTTGGCCGGTGACGACTGATCCACCAAATGAGGCGGAAGTCCGCAAGGAACTCCAACTCTTGAAACGTTACAAATCACCAGGCCCAGACGACTTACCCCCGGCTCTTTTTAAAGATGGTGGTGACTTTCTGACTAAAGGACTGACGACGTTGTTTACAAAGATCTGGGCACTAGAGAGTGTACCAACGTCATGGAATGAGTCGATAGTTGTCCCTATCTTTAAAAAGGGTTCACGTTGTTCCTGTAACAACTATCGGGGGATAAGTCTACTTCCGATTGCGTCCAAGCTATTGGCTTCCGTCATACTTCGTAGGTTGTTCAGAACCCGAGAAGGATTGACTCGCGAGGAGCAGGCTGGGTTTCGTTCTGGTCGAGGATGTATTGATCATATCTTCACCCTCCGCCAAGTGTTAGAACACCGCCATACTTATCAAAGGCCAACAATCGTAGTGTTTCTTGATATCAAGGCTGCTTTCGATTCGTTGGACAGAACTGTTCTCTGGGATTGTCTATTGAACAAGAGTGTGCCTGAGAAGTTTATTAACATCCTAAAAGCCTTATATACAAACACCTCAGGTAGAGTGAGGGCATACAACCACCTTTCTCCACTATTCCATTCAAGCAGTGGAGTTAGGCAGGGTTGCCCAGTCTCACCATTCCTCTTCAACTTTGCCATCGATGACATTCTGGAAACAGCTCTGACGGATGTAAGTAATGGTGGTGTGGATCTGTTGCCTGGAGAAAGACTTCTCGACCTTGAGTATGCGGATGATATTGTCTTACTGTGCGAGAATGCCCAAGTCATGCAATCCGCACTTAATCAGTTGGCAATCAGTGTCCGTAGGTATGGTATGTGCTTTGCACCTTCGAAGTGCAAAGTACTTCTACAAGACTGGCAGGATTCTGATCCTGTACTCACTCTAGATGGTGAGCAGATAGAAGTAGTCGAGAAGTTCGTGTATCTAGGTAGCTGCATAAGTGCTGGTGGTGGCGTGAGTGATGAGATCAATGCACGTATAGTGAAAGCCAGAGCGGCTTATGCCAATCTGGGCCATCTTTGGCGCCTTCGTGATGTTAGTCTGGCTGTAAAAGGTCGGATCTACAACGCGACGGTGAGAGCAGTTTTGCTCTATGCTTGTGAAACCTGGCCTCTCCGAGTTGAGGATGTTAGACGACTCTCTGTGTTCGATCATCGTTGCCTCCGAAGGATTGCTGGCATCCAGTGGCAACACCATGTCAGTAGTGCAGAGGTTCGGCATCGAGTGTTCGGTCACAGAGACGATAATGAAATTGGTGTCACCATCTTGAAACACCGACTTCGGTGGCTTGGACATGTTCTACGAATGTCGTCCCAGAGAATTCCTCGTCGTGCATTATTTGCCGACTCTGGGACTGGTTGGAAAAAGCGGAGAGGTGGTCAGTATATGACATGGTGTCGTGGTATGAAAGAAAGCTGCAAAGGGCTAGCTTATGTTGGTCCTTCACGACTCCCTGGTTGGGGTCCGAGAGATGGTGTAACGCAGTGGCTAGAGACGTTATCAGATATGGCTCAGAATAGAAGCCAGTGGCGATCCTGCTGTAACCTTCTTTTACTTTCTTCATAAAAAGGTGGTCGTATTCTTCCTTAACTGAAAGATCTGTTCTGATTGTACCTTTCCGTTTCCCCCACCATTGTTCTCTCTCTCTCTCTCTTCTTTTTTTTTATAATTCCCCACGTTCATTACTTTTTTTTTTTCTCTTTTCTCCTTCTCTTCTAATTATCTCTGTTTTGTGTGGCGCATATATATTTGGTGCCCCACTGTACCAATATTTATGTGTTCAAATAAATAAATAAAATAAATAATAATAATAGTCAATGGGTTGAAATAAAGCTTATAATAAGAGGAATATGTGTTATAACGTGTGATCCGCCTATTAGAGAGCAGCCTGTTATCGATCGAAACACTGACGCACAAAATACGACCGAGCAGTCTAGAGCTCTGATTGGTCCTGCTTCCCTGTCTAGCCCAGCCAATTGAGTCCAGAACACAAGTCTCAGCCTCGGAGATATGAATCGTTATATTTCAAACATACACTGTTTATATACCAAACAAACAGACTACATCGTACCATAAAATAGAAAGTAAAATTTGTACAAGATTTAACCTTCAGGAAATGACACAAATAAATAGTGACCAATAAGGAGATGACACGTTGGAAGAATGTTGACCAATGGGGAAGTGACACTACTTCTCATTCAGGAATAGCATTAGATAATTTCTGGGGTATTTTCTGAAAACCCCAACAATATGAATAGTTTAGTTATTTAACAATCATACGATAAAAATATACGTATAGTATTGGTCCACAGATGGATTCCAAAAATTACCATTCATTATTCTCATCAGGATATAACAGTCTCATTTTTAGGGAGGCATTAATGTCATGATAAGTGGTTCATTATAAAAATATTTTAGTCAATATCTGCTAGAAAGTCTGATTTTAGTAAAAATAACACAAGTTATGTAAATTTAAATCAATTAGTCCCTTCGATAGTGTAATAAGAAGACGAAGATTATCAGTT